AGGGTAGGAAGGCTCTGCACAGGGACCTGGATCGATGGGCTGAGGCCAACTGTATGAGGTTCAACAAGGCCAAGTGCCGGGTCCTGCACTTGCGTCACAACAATCCCATGCAGCCCTATAGGCTGGAAACCTGCCTGGTAGAAAAGGACCTGGGGGTGTTGGTTGACAGTCACCTGAACATGAGCCGGCAGTGTGCCCAGATGGCCAAGAGGGCCAAGAGCATCCTGGCCTGTATCAGAAATAGTGTGGCCAGCAGGAGTAGGGAGGTGATCGTGCCCCTGTACTCGGCCCTGGTGAGGCCGCACGTCGAATACTGTGTTCAGTTTTGGGCCCCTCACTACAAGAAGGACATTGAGGTGCTGGAGCATGTCCAGAGAAGGGCAACGAAGCTGGTGAAGGATCTAGAGCACACGTCTTATGAGGAGCAGCTAACGGAACTGGGGTTCTTCAGTCTGGAGAAAAGGAGGCTGAGGGGAGACCTTATAGCCGTTTACAACTACCCGAAAGGAGGTTGTAGCAAGGTGGGTGTTGGTCTCTTCTCCCAAGTAACAAGTGATAGGACGAGAAGAAACGGCTTCAAATTGTGCCAGGAGAGATTTAGACTGGACATTAGGAAAAATTTCTTTACTGAAAGAGTGGTCAAGCCTTGGAACAGGCTGCCCAGGGAAGGGGTTGAGTCACCATCCCTGGAGGGATCTAAAAGATGTGTAGATGTGGTGCTTAGGGACATGGTTTAGTGGTGGACTTGGCAGTGCTAGGTTAACAGTTGGACTTGATGATCTTAAAGGTCTTTTCCAACCTAAACGATTCTATGACTCTATGATTCTATGTGCTGTTACTACTAGTTTGGACAGACACTATGAGGGAGGACTTCTGCATTAAACACTTGCTTGGGAAATCCTCCATATCTCAAACTTCCCACCTCTAAGACAGGAAAACTTAGACAAGAGGGGAAACACTCTGAACATAAAATATGATCAGAGCCCCATCTTTGCTGAAGAGAATTACATTAGACGAGGAATGAGATGTGCCTGCAGTTGCCAGAACAGTTAAAATGAGTTCAAAATATATTAGCTATTATAATTAACTATTTATACAGCAGTAGTGCCTAGAAATGCTAGTTGATGATTTATGCTCCCTGTGGCTTTGTACTGTACAGTAAAAATATCCCTCACTCCAGAATACTTCATATCAGCTTTCAAATCCTGACTGAAAAGAAGTGTTCTTGGTATGTAAACAATGAGTCATAAATTGCAAAGGGTTAGTTTCAAAGTATCTAATTGAAAAATGCTGGCATCAGAGATTATTCCTTATATAAACCAGACTGTTAGAGACAGATAGAACAATTCTTCATTTAAAAGCCCTGCTACAGGACAGCTGTTGAACTAGGTATACCATGCAGACATATACCTGAAGTTCTTTGCCCATTTCCAGGCAAAAAAGCAACTTGGTTAAAAAAGCAACAAAATTTACTGAATTGGTGTATTTATTCTTCACTGCTGAATGAGTCTGGCCAGCATGAGAAGAACTCAACAATGTTCTGAAACGGAGTTTCTTTCTGACATGCAGGATGAAAACTGCACATTAAAATCAAAACAGTTGCCAATTACACAAGCATCAGGAGAATGCAAAGTGCTACCACAGCAAAACTGGAATGACTGCTCCTCCTGTAATGTCTTGTAAGGCAAGGAAGAGTGGAATCTATGAATCAGATCCGTAACAGAGCAAAAGGAATGCCCCAGGGCATAGGCGTACCAGGCTTTGTTAGCACCTGCCTGAAGCGTGAATCAGAAAGGTAAAGGGTGGGTCAGGGTGCCAAAGCCACTCGTTTTCATTTTCCCCTTAGTCTGCTCTGCTTTATGAGAGACAAGGCAAGCTGGAAGGTGGGCCACAGAGCTTTTCCTTCTCAACATCATGCTTCCTACTGTACAGACATCAACAATTTGGACAGCCTTGCAGCATCTGCTCTGAGCCTACTCATCCTTAGGCCTTGGTATAAGCGCAAAGGAGAAAAGCAAAGAGAGGAACAACAGACTGGACAGTCTGTTTGGAGGTTCTGAAGGAGTCCTGGTAGACAGGATGCTATGAAACCAGATGGATCCTACTCCAAAGTGAATTTTGGCAGAACTAAAAGATTGTCGGCTTTTCTTTTGCTCATCTTGACTGAAAAAATTATGTGTTATACCTACATAAAATTAAAGGGTCAAATCAAACACAAATCTTGCCAGGTTGTTACCCTGCAACTCCCATGTTAGGTGTGACTAAGACAGCAGCAACCCAAGTACAGCTAGCTAGTGGATTCCAGCAGGGATCTGCTAGAGACATGGCCCTACAAGAACAGTCACACCCTGTCCTCCGTAAGGAGTACAATGCTGGTCTGTCTCACCTTTCAGCTCCTGCAGCTGCATCTGATACATCAGATCCAGCTGACCAGGAAGTAAGTGATGGTGTGGCAACTATGTGAACTGTGTCCAGAAGTGCACTCCCAGCCCTCTCAATGCCGCAGCTGCTTGCTGACAGGTATGTGTGACTAACCAATAAACCCCCACAATGGAAGAAGGCTCAGAGGAGATGGGCAAAGTTGACGCCCATGAAGCTCAGGGAATAATCTGGGGTGTGGCTAACCACTGCTGTTATAAAGAAGCTGACTCAACACAAGGGGACAGGAAGGTGGCCTTTGTCTTAGGTAAACAGCTATCAAAAGTTGAGTGAATCAACTGGTGGTGTAAATGCTTCTCCCTGAGTTTACTAAAAGAGTGCAAATGTCTCCCTGAGTTAGCCAGACCTGCACCGTGGGGAATTGAATATGTGGCTCAGGCCAACACAGAGTATAAAAACCAGACAACTAGCAATGGGCTTGACCTGGCTTCAACCCACGTATTCATTCCCAGCTACTGGGGACACCCAGTGTCATGCTGGTAAGCATATTAAAGAGACTGGTAATGGGAAATACATTGGCATTGTGATTGAACTGTGCATTGCAATTGCAGTATTTTGCCAAATGTAATTTGCATTTATTTGTATTGTGTTATGCAGTATATTTTGTATCACTCTGCTAAATCAGAAATCCTGTGCAGCATCAACTATCTTCGAATAAGTAAATCTGATATTAAACATTACAACCTCCACATCTGGAACACCTAAACAGAACCTGGTCAGAGGGTATGGGTCACTGACAGCGTGCTGAAGCACAGGGAAATGCACAGGTTAGAAGGAGAGAATGCAACGACTCCAGGGCTAAATGAACTTGGAAGAAGAGAGGCTGGGAGTGCAATGCAGGCTTTTTAAGTATAGGCTGTGGGGCATACAAGAGGACTGACAGAGAAAGGTGCCAGAATGTAGCTTTAGTTTCACACAATGCTGAGCATGGTATTTCAGAAATGTGAATATTTTGGAGTGTGATTTCTGAGACTCTGGTCAGCCTTCACAATTTCGGAATGAAATCCCACCCAAACCCAAGGGCACAGGAGAAGTGCAAGATCGCCAGCCCATCCAGCCACATGTATGGCACATCTCACCAAGGCAAGAAGGTGAAATGCTGTTCCAGCTCCCATTGTCCAGGCACAACATCCTGGAGTCGCCCAACAAATAGTAGCCATTGTTGCAGTGATAGGTAACGGTACTGCCAGCGAAAAAGTCCTCAGCTGAATAAAATCCATTTTCTAAAGGCGGAGGCACTCCACAGCTGATTCCTGCAACATGAGTGAAAAGAGGGCACAGACATTAGCAGAGCAGACACAGATCAACTTCAGAATAATTCCGCATGAGAGCCACCACTGGAGATTTTTTCTCTGCAACTGTGGAATCTCGTCCGCAAGAGGGCCCAGGCCTTTTCTGAGGTAGCTAATGGATTCCAGGTCTGGTGGAGGGTCTTGTTTTGTGGGCACTTGTCAATCAGAGACTGAGGACTCTCCGGTTCCTGCTATTCTACTAGCTCTGGAGGAGACATCTGTGACTAAGATCCGAGCAGATGCCCTTCAGTCACAGGACACTTCCCCTGATAATCAATGATCCTTGGTAAGTTTTAAGGAAAAAGGAGAAGTAAGTTTGCCTCTCTGGAGGTTCCTGTTATTTTCCTTCGCTGAAAAACAAGCTCAATTTTACTGTATTTGAACATTGCAAAACTAGCTAACAGATTACTGCTAAGAGGTTACTGTACTGGTCTGAGACCAAGGAGCGCATGAATGATGGAGAGATTGGAACTGACCTCACATACAATCTTGGGCATCACTTTGTCTTTGACTATAGTAAATAAGCCCTTCTGATCCCAGCTGTGCAGGAGAAGGCATCACTGTACCTGCCTACCGGAGGTTGCTATTTACTCTAGCAGAGCTGCTTCTGTGGATCTTCATTTCAGTCAAGATGACATGAACTTATTCCAACAGCTACACAGCTCATCTTTGTAACTACATGGATTGAAGCAACTCCTTGCTCCCCAGGATGTGTGCAAGGATCATACAATAAGACACTGTGAAGTGTTTAGAGCCCATGGTAATGGAAGCCAAGTACTTGCTGTAGAGGGATAGAACTGAAGAGCCTGTAACAAAGACAGGCTGCCAGAGGATGGGGACCTGTGGTTTTGGGGGTCTTTGGTAGCAGGAAGAGGAGAAGGATCCTGGTGGGTGAAGGCAGTGATTGCAATGAGCCTGATTCAGTCAGTAGAAGAACCTTTTCTGTACCACACCTACCACTATAAACCCTGTAGTTCTTTATGCAGGAAATAGCTATCTTCAACCCACTTTCATTCATCAGGTACTTGTGATCAGGCTGAGAAAGGCCAGTGGGCGAGTCTGGCCCTCATTCACTCAGGATGTTTGTGGCAGGTCAACCCTGTTCTGTCTGAGCTCTGTGCTCAACAGGTAAAACTGCCTGGCCCAATATAGAGAAATCAGAGGGCAACACTAACAGGATTCTGGTGGCTTATGACTGATAACACAGTGCAAAGAGCAAGAGCAAAGCTGTCTCTGCCAGTGAACTTACACTCTACCCAGCAGGACTTGCTTTTGGGTAAATACATGTGTGCTATTCTTTAGGCAGAAGAGGAGACAGATCCTAGATTTGTGCTATGAACAACTGAATAAAGAGGAAGACATGAAAATCACATCAAATCTAGATGAAACTATTTTTAAGGGATTTTTAAAGAATTTGATGATTTTCCCCAAACTACTGATCAATTTTGGGATCATGCAATACCTGCTTCTGGAGGTAATTTACTATTCTGCTGAAATGAAAAATATAGTCAGCTCCAACACATGCAACTGCAGTCACATGTGCAGTCACAATAGAGGAGAACCAAAGAAAAGGAGAAGGCAGGAGCAGGAAAGCAGGAACCAAAGAACCTTGGCAACCTGAATGTATACAGCCCAGTTTCTTAGAAGAAATGCTGTAAATCTTGGAGCACTCCTAAGTCCTGACGCAAATATCTGCTGCCTTTAAAGAAATTATAACATCCTAATGCCAAGGCTTTTACTTCAAACCAGATGTTCTCAGTGACACTTAAAAATCACAGAGATATTCTAGCATTTCCTGTGCATCTTCCACACTCCTGGTGCCACTGGGGGGGAAAGTTTGGAGTATCAGATTGGTGATCCAAATAGACTCATTTCTGCCATGGGCAGTAGAAACTGACTGAAAAAGGTCGCAGAATCCGATCATGGTGTAGTTCCTGCTCAGTAAAACATGAGTTCAGTTTTAAGCATATATGCATATGCTGTAACATGGATGGATTCAAGTGCATCAGAGCCGCAGGGATAAACAGGCCATGAATAGTGACAGAGTCCAAATAAAAGCTAGGGTTTCCTAATCCTGCCAGCCCACTGAGACAACTCACTTTCACAGCGGGGAAAAGGCCGTGTCCACTGTCCCAGGTTAAGGCAGTGTTGAACAGAGTTTCCCACTATCTGGAAGCCTGGGTCACAGGAAAGGCTCACTTTTGACCCTGGCTTTAAATCAGCAGAAGAGGCCCGCAGATGTGGTATGGATCCTTGCAAAGACGGACAGTCTGTGGACAAAATATATGCATACAGTAAGAGATACAGCTATGTGCTGAAACGAATAAATTTATTATCTGATTGTTTGATCCTGTATAAGTTTATCCAGGAGAAAGCTTTGGGAAGTGCTATGTATGCTACATCCTGCTTGGGTTCAAAGGGTTTTGAGAATCATCAACATAGAACATCAGAAAAGTAATCTGTAGGAAAAGAGGTGAGGAGGCAGTAGGTATTTTAATACCATCCAATTATTTTTAGAATAAAAGACAAGAAAAACTTCTTTCTGACTTTTTTTCCCATCTCAATTCAGGAAGCAATAAATCTTTGTCAGAGATTCCAATGAACTTTTGTTACAAAACCCTGGAATTCGAGGAATGAGGGACTGAATGTTCTAACTGTCAAATTATCAAAATAATTTATTCAAGGTTAGTAGGGCAAAGGCTGCAAGCTAGCATATTTGACCTCATAAAAGAGTCTTCTAATATTGTTCAGAAAAAAAGGGTTCTAGGAAATAAAGTTCTAACCAGCACAAAATATACTCTTGTAATCTATCTTCACTCTTCCAACAACTCCTGGCAGGAAATCTGGCCAGGCTAGTACATTTCCTTTTTGCAGTTCTTCTGGACAGGATGTAGCCAGAGATTTTACCTATGGATTTAAAACAGTTGATTAGGTGCTGTTTAAGGACCATGTAGGAAAAGAATGTAAAAAAATATTCCTTCCATGTCTGCATGCAACACTAGAACAAACCATTGAATAAGTGATGCTCCTCCTTTCTAGCACAAGAGGCTTCTGGCTGAACTACTTATTATTCTGTACTTAAAAGCCAGCTAGCTGTGGACAGGCATGTACTGAGGCAATACCTGACGGAATACTTGTCATACAAGCAAAGTATAAAACATAGTTCTTGAAACACAATTGCGTTTGTTAGCGTGAAAGAAAAATGTATTTATGTCACAGAAAAAGGCAGATATGAGAACGCAACCTGAAGTGAAAGCTTGATGTATTTGCAGAAAAATGTCAAATAGGAGCCAAAAAGAACTTAATGTTGAAGATCTGCATTCTGCAAACTCTGCTAGCACTGCACCACGTTTAAGGAACAGAAACACAAAAAGGAGCAGTTTAATAAAGCAATTTGTTGTTTCCAGGACAAGAGTTTTGTGAATTCAATATACTAGGCTCTTCAAAACACTGCAGGCAAGGCCTACTCACACCAATACTACCAGCAGTATTGGCACTGACTTCAACCAAAGCAGGACAGGGCCACAACTAACCATGTGCTGAAACAGGAATTATATAGGCAAACTAAGGAGAAAGAAAGGAACACACTGTTAGATCAACAGCAGATTAATATCTTGAGAGCAGATCTGGTCAAATATCTTAGATGGAAAAGTTTTCCATTTAAAACATAACTCCTTTAATGACATCACTAGGGGTTTCTTTTGCATTCTTAGTATAAGAAACTGAAATACCAATGGGAATCCTTAAGCTGTTTCAGTATTGTATTTTAATGTGAAAAAAAAAAATTATTTCAGTAAGGTAAAAATATTTCTACTTCTTCACTGTGGCTCTGAGAATCTATTTAACATAGTAACATTGTTATACTTCTATCTGGCCACCAGTAGAAGGAGCCTGGGGAGTACAACCCCAGATGGCACAGCACTTTTAAGCTATTCAGACACCAGTGTAAATTATATGCCATAGTAAGAATACGCAGACAGACCCTTAATGATGGGATGTCACGTAAATATTCCACAGTGGTCCCCTGGAAGGAGCTCAGATGTCCCAACGCCAACATTTGTAAAAAAGAAGGCCGTCTAGTTCCATTGGATGCTCAGGGAGATCTCTACTACACGAAAGTGTTTTAAAACCGCAAATGAAAGACCAGGGCTTTGGATTCACTCTGCATTGCCTTTGTTCACTATAACTCCAAGAACAGAAAAGAAATAGTTCCAGAAGGTGACTGGGACTAAGGTGTGTTATTGGCACAGTACTCCCCATTACGTTTCTCCCTATCAGGGCAGACGCAGTCATATCCCAGCCATGGAACTGCTGAAAAAAACATACGTGCACTGAGGAGGATAAATGTGCAGTAAAGGGATAATTAAGGATTTCCTCTTCTTTTAAGATATCAGAAAGGGAAGTGGTCTATGGAAAAAAGATGGTTATTCAATTAAGAGAACATGGTAGTAATTAGGCTACCGAGATTACTTCCTACTCTTTGGCTCTTCTGTGCTGGAGGGTCATTCCAGTAATTGCCTGGCAGGGAGAAAGGAATGTTTCCTTCAGCAGCGTGAAAAAATGAATTAAGACGAGCAACAATAAGCAGCCCAGTGGGCTGTGTACATCTCAGCACAGCCAGCCTACCCATACAATACATGCAGCATGGCTTCAAGGCACAGCTAGCTGGTTAGAAAGCACAGGTGTGCCCAGTTCATGCCGAACAGTTGGGAAACTGCCTTTCTCAGAAAGGTGACTGGCTTCTGTCAAGTCTCCAGTGGATGAAATCAACTAACAAGAATAATGTGCTATACTGTCTGCCTGTCTGAGAAAGGAAGGTACACCATGAACCTCAGACTGAATTATTCTCACACTCCCCCTACCCTGAACTCCAGTGACATGGATCAGACTAGAGTCAGCTTAGATGGAGAAAAGAGCAATCTGCTCTGTTTATTCTGAGATAATTTCAAAGATCTCACTTCAACAGTAAGTGCTGATGGAAACTGCTTAGGCCAAGGGCTGCAAACAAAGTGCAAGGAATCTGCAGGGAAAAATTTCCAGTGTGGGAAAGGCAGGTTTGGGAACCAGCCATATGATGGAGAATGGAGGGCCAGAAAGGACCTCACAGTCCTATATAGACCACACATGTTTCTACTGCTGTCTACTCAGCAACAAAACAACCAGACTGCTGGTTTACCTATACAAAATTAATGTGCAAGTGGATGAGCAACTAAAGTACACAAAGAAAAATCTTAAAGAGTGGACTTTGCCTTTACATTATTCACTGGGCAGCATATTCTGTCACCCTGCTTTCCTTTATGGCTGAGAATAGGAAGGTAAGACTTACTGAACAGTTGCAGCTGGCAATAATAAAACTGATAATAACAGATAATGATAGTGATTTACCATCCCAAGCTCCAAAATGAATGAGGTAAAAATTGTATAGGAAGCTTATTTGGCCCAGCTCCCTGTCTAGTCTCACATCTGTCTTTTCAGATGAGTAATATGGATACCATGAAGAGCAGGATTTTCTTCCTTGTTCTAACTGTATTGCATTTGAAGCAAATGGGAATTTAATCAAGCCTGTCATTAAAGACAGACGACTACTGAGAAAGACTCAGAAAATTGCACTTAACCTCTTCACCAGTGCATCCTGTAAAATCACATGTATACTTATCAGCCTCAAAACTCCTAGTGAACAAAAACCTGAAGATTTGACTTGGCAATGCAACAGTTGGTGACCTCAAAAGCCAAGAACAGTAGCAGATTGCTGGGCAGTTCTGAACCTAGCAGAAAGCCAAAGTAGCAAAGAAAAGGAGAAAGAATCAGAGGAAACATTTGGATGCCAGAAGCAAAGATTCTGCTTTACTTCTATTTTCTGTTCATTTTGTTATTTCTTATTTGGATCATGGATAACAAACAGTGATAAACCACCACATAGTGGTAAAACCTTAAAAAGCACCAGAAGAGCAAAACCTTTTAAACCAAAAACTCTTCCCCTAAGAAATGCCTCTAACTTCGAACACTAGTCCTTGCTGTTTAAGTGTTACCAACAGTTCAATCATTTCTAACCTTCAGGATTGAAATACTAATGACCAGGAAGTGGTGATGGAGCACACCGTCATCAGGTTTGCAGATAATATCGAACTGGGAGGCCCACTCTGTCTCTGCTCAAGGACAGAGCTGCATCTTTAGGGACCTCGACAGGCTGGAGGAATGGACCAACACAGACCTCATGAAATTCAACAAGAACAAACAGGAAGGAAAAACCTCTGAACAATGCAGGCTGGCGAAAGCCTGGAGAGGGAGTGGCTCTGTGGAAAAGGACCTAGGGGCTCTGGCAGGTGGTGAGCTGAATGTCGGCCAGCTGTGTGCCCTGGCAATAATGAGGACCAACAGCATCCTTGGCTGTGTGAACAGGGTCACAACCAGAAAACCAAGGAAGGGATTATTCCCTCTTCTCAGTGCTTATTAGACCACATCTGGAGTATTGCATTCCATTTTGGGCTCCTCAGTACAAGGAAGACATTGACAAGCTGGAGCAAGTTCAGGGGAGGGCATCAAAAAGGTGATGGGCTGGAGCATTTGCCCTGTGAGAAGAGGCTGTGGGACCAAGGCTGGTTCAGAGGCAGCTTTGGGGACACCTAACAGCAGCCCCCGGTACCTATGGGGAGGTAATAAGTATATAGAGCCAGGCTCTTCACAGCAGTGCATGGTGGGAGACAGAAACAGTGGTCATAAATGGAAGTGGGAAGCCCCAACTAGATATAAAGAAAAAAATTTCACTCCAAGGATAACTGAGTACTGAAGCTTGTCTCCCAGAGAAGCTGAGGGATCACTGTCCTTGGAGACATCTTTTGATCTATACTGATTTTTTAATTCTGTGAAAGTTTAGTGCCAAACCTTTATTTTTGGTACCTGAATAAAAGTAGTCCAATATTCAGTTATGCTGTCCATTCAGACTTTCCTGGGACTATATAGTTCAGATTTTTCATAGTGTCTAATGCACAGACAGAAATTCTGATGCTTCCCCTCCGAAGTTTTACTGGTGCCTTCACACAGCAGGATGAGGGAACTGTAACCTGTAAAACAAGCCCTGAGCTTGTTTTTTTGGGTTTTCTCCCTCTTCTAACAAGACTGCTAACTTTTGTGTATGCCTTCATTTCTCTTTAAAAGCTACATAATACAGAAAGGCTCAGTCAAAATAGAAGGTGACTCAGTGTTGATTTTACCACACCTAGTTTTGCTTAAAGCTACTCTGCTTACTACACTAACTTACTACACTGACTTCTGTGAAAACAGAGGTCTATCCAATATGCTAACTTTGAATGCCTTTTCAAATGTTCACCCTACGCTCAGAGCCCTGTGCTCAAACACTGCAGTAAGGACTTACCTGCTGTGGAGACAGGACATGGTCCCAAATGTTGAGCTGGCTGATGGAGCCCACAAAAGATTCAGCTGGGTTGAATCCTTCTCCTTTCTGATCTTGCTCTTGACCCAGTACAAGTGCACCACCACCTAAACTCAGAGAGAATTAGAACAGGAATAGGAAACAAAGCCTTACAGCAGGGATCCCCATAGGAAGATTAAAAACTAAGCAAAACAAAACTTTTGCTATCCTATGTTACTAAGATTTTGTAGTGCAGGAGACAAGCTACCTTCAACAAATTCTCTCAGCAAACCTCTGGGAAGCCTTATGCTAGACTGAGGTTAAGTGAGCATAACAATTTGGAAGTGACTCTCAAATACACATTAATGCTGAACTCATGCTGAGCAGAGCAGAAACTTTACATAGCTGCTACAAGAATGGTATTGGCTCTAAGAGACCACTTCTAGCTCAGTATTTGAAGCGTATTACAGAGCAATGCAAAATGCAGTTTTGAGCAGGTGAGGCATATTTTACGATGCTAGCTTGCACTTCCTGCTTTAAAAAAAAGCTTAGAAAGTCAGATAGAACAAATACGATTCCAAATGTCTAATAATTGGTGATTAGACAATCAACGTTCTGACATGCCATAAACATTAAATTTCTTTTCCTCGATCAGTGGCACAGATGATGTGGACATGCATTTTGTATGTCACAGGGTGTCTAGACAAGGGCAAAAAGTAATGGAGACTGCACACTTCCTTAGGTCTTGTCTCTGGAGATAACTTCAATGTAATTAGGGGCAAGCATAAGGTACACAGACTAAATCGCTTCACTATTTTTTTTTTTAATATGGATAGTTTTTTGAAACGCTATGTAAATTCCGATGGTGGCAGTATGAAAACACTATCAAAACCAAATCTCTTTGCAGCAATCTAACATCAGGCCTTTCACAGCTTGTCAATGATGAAGGTATTCCTTTTCATGTCTTCTGATATTACTGGAAAGACTGCTGATCACAGGAAACAATGAAATAGCAAAACCCACCTTGTTAGGAAAAAAAGCAAACATAAAACTTTAAAAAGATGTCTGAAAGTAACAGCAGAAGGCTAATTCAATCAACTCTGAGCACACATTTGTAAGGCAAATGCCAGTTAAACTTAAGTTTGTTGTGTGGGAAACCTATTCTCACAAAGCCATTCCAAAAATCAGCTCAGCACAGGATCCTTTGTGGACTAAACTCTGTCACCCCCAAAACGAGTTACCTACTACTTCACCCTAGAAATGTGCATTTTGTCTTCAGCGAGGCTGAGTGAGGGAACTGTTCTCATGAACAAGAATAGCAAACATGAGCCCTGCATAAACGTGAAAACTACTAAAAACACCAAAATAAACATTTCCTTGCAGGCACAGCAAATTCTGCAATAAAAACAGAATGAAGGCAACGGATCTGGTGTAATATAAATAAAGCATACCAGGGATTTTTGAGCCAACAGAGAGCCCGCTGCCTCCATCAGACAGTTTTCCATCGATGTACACTTTCCATGCCCCATCGGTGCATGTCCATGTGACTGCAATGTGGTGCCAGTTACCATCGTTCACTGAAGGACAGTCTGTGATCCTCTCTTTCCCATTTACATAAAGAACCCAGCTGCATGGAAGGAAGACGAAGGCACACTCAGTTGCATGCAGCAACTTTAAAAGCGTGGCCTGTCCCACATGACTCAAAGAAATGTTATTTGCCAAACGAGGTAACTGTGTCTACAGCATACAAGAAATCTCTCCTGAAAGATCATCATACAAGGTATCTCTCTCTCAGAGAACTTGGAAGTTACGATTATCATACGCAAAGCATGGTGAAATAAGTAATGTGATTTTGTACCAAAACATGAAGACTCAAGTCCTGGCTGCACAGTGGATTCTTAAACGTGCCCCTTGGGTCCATCCCTGCTTTTGGAGTCACACGACAAGTACTCCGAGTGCTGAGCTCCATTTTATCCAATCATTGTCTCAATGCATCATTTAAATATGATGTAAATGTAGTCCAGAAAAAAATATCCTGCTTTCTAAACTTCACTGCTTTCTTGCCATTACTCTTCTATTTGGCAAAAAGTGAAGGAAACAAAAAAAGGAGAAAAACAAAACAAAGAGGCAACTCCAGCTTCAGAGTTTGGATGCAGATTTTTCTACCCCAAAGTAGGCAAAGCTGATACTCAGACTTCTGGTCTATGCTTTATCAATTCAAGACATGTGTAAGCTACAGAAAAGCAGAACTGTGATTTACCCATTGTAATCAGTCAGAAGAAATGCATTATCACTTCCATTCTCCACTGCATAAGAAATGGGAGTCCCATAGTTTGTGGTGTCAGTGGATTTCATCCAGAATGTACAGGTGATGTCACCAAGAGATGGGAAAACACCATCAAGCATGACGTATCCATAGATACCAGAGACTTCAAAATCAAGATTGAAACCAGAGGACTGTTCTACAATAAAGACAAAGAGTTTTCAGAGCTACATTCCTGAAAACCAGAAAATGAATCAAACGGAATCTAAGCAAATGCAATAAAATGGAACACAACCCATCTAAAAAAATTATTCTCTTTAAATTGATGATAGAAAGAATGTATAGCAGTCCAACATCAGCCAGCACACAGGGCTTTCCAGAGCTAGAAAACACATGATTTGAAGAAAAATGACCAGAAAAGAAGCTGATTAATCTAACAAACAATGAACATGAACCTTGCTTTTCAGTCCTCTGTCAATGAAATGACATACACATCTGCCATCCAACAACCCAAAGAGGTGTGATCAGCTGGTTCCATTTTATTCATAAGAGCCAAGATTACAAAAGAAAAAAAAAAAAAGATTTTTTTCTGCTCTGGACTTACAGAAATACACTGCACTGGTATGGGATAGCACTTCTGTGCTGCTCTTCAATGCAGAGTAACATGCTTTACAAGGATACCACAGGTAAATGTACCAAGTGGAGCTCTCCTGAAAGCTGGGTGTTATTAAACTCAGACATAGGTACGGCTAAATGACCTGTATGTCCTCTACTGTCTCTGTAAAATCAACACAGGGTCTTCAGCTTCTGTTTAAAGATTCATCAGCTACTAGTGTAACACCTTATAATTTCCATGGAGTGGCTAAAAGACAAATGGATTTGAGCCTCATGGTTGTGTGGCCTAACTCCAGCATCATCCAGGAAGTTGTACTAGGTGTGACCCATTTTGCCCGACCACAAGGAACTTCATGCCCTTTAGGACTTCTAAAGCTGAGACTACCACATACTAATCTCTAACCCCGTGATGCAAAGCCCTACATGAAATACAAGATGCCTTGTAAGAAAGAGCTAATTAACTCAGATACACAGAGCAAATACAAATTAAACTTGATAGACCTACTAGGTATTAAAAAGATGTAAGTGTGCCTTAGAAAAGAGAAATGAATATAAATATGACATAGCACACATGCTGTTACTTGTCTGCAATTACACTTATTAACACTGCAGTCACACAAGCTCCACTCAGCCTCTGAGTCCCACCACCCTAGCTGCTTTCTGGGGAAGCTGTAGGAAATCAGCCCAGTCAGTGCAAATCTTGCTCACAGACTTAGTCAAGCCACCTTTTTCTGACACTTGGTCCTGTGTACCTGTTTCACACCTGCTGCCTGTAAAGCCAGGGGGACATTTACAAACGTACGAGTTCAAGGCATCCACACAGGTGGCTTGGTTTAAGCAGGGACTGGAGTCACAGTCATTGATGTTCACTTCACAGTTTAGTCCTGTGTACCCTGTCACACACAGACACCTACGGAGGAAAAGAGAAGCACATTTCAAAAGTGGCTGCTGTCACGAAAAAGAATCCTGGCCATGAGGCCAGGCCTGCCAATGGGAATGGCATAGGTGGGGGGATCAACAGAAGAGATACTACAGAATTAATGGAGTTTTATTTTGGTTGTTCCTTTAAGTATGCTTGTATTCTATTAGCTGTATATTTCTTCTTAATAAGGACAATACAATATTTAAACACAGTGTCTGTGTTTCTTCATATAAAATTGGGAGAGGCAATCATTGTGTTCCTGTAAGTGAAGCATGCCTTCTAGAGTCCACAGAATTATAGACGAGAGGTACTTGACTTTTTAGGCATATATGCTCACACTAAGGGAAAACTAAGGCAGTAGAAAGGCACCAAAACCTCTGGTACTTGGAAAACTAAGGCGTTTGAAAGGCACCAAAACTTCTGGGGCTTTGTGGAGGGGAAGAGTTATTAAACCCAGACAGCAACAGCTGATCCATCTCTCTATCTCTACAGTGATCTAGGATATGACACTGCTATTGGTATTTGTAACTGCTGATCTGAGTTCAGATACCCTAAGGCATAACAAGAAATATTTGGAAGATTCCATTGGTGTTTTTATTTTAATCTCTGTATTCTCAACATGTACAGCTATCCCTGTCTTGCAGGCTATAGGAATGTACTATTATCAGGTACATAACTGGTCATCACCTATTCTTCTAGTGGAAAGCAAGACAAGCCCTTGAAGCTTGGGAAAGTGGATTTCTTTTGGAAGATCAATATTAAAACCACGCAGTCCTACCATGCTTACACTTCAAACTCTGCATATTTTCTTTACTGTCTACCTTGGAATTTTTTAAGAGTGAGGACACTAGGATTTATTTTCTTGCCTTCTAAAATCTCCTTTAGTGTGCATAGGGGACCATTTACATTGGATCAGGCTGCCAAATGCCTTGCTGAAATCTAAGAAAGCTGAAGCACCGCAACATACTGACTTTCCACATTGTATTACATCAATCATCTGTTTTTCACCTGAAGCTGTTGATACCATCTCTGCACGTAGCTCCATTCCTACAGGGTCTGCTGAGACACTCATCGATGTTTCTTTCACATAAGACACCAGTAAAACCTGGGAGGCACTTGCAGGAGAAACTGCCAACTCGATCTTCACAAACAGCCCTATTAAGACACGGGTTTGAAAGGCATTCATTGACCTCCATTTCACAGTGAGCACCTGAGAAAAAAAGAACAAAGTCACAGCTCCGCTTTGAATTAACCTCAGAAAGAAGATTACTAACCCATCTCTGTTTTTTTAAGGACTGTTGCTGATCTTCTGGGAAACGTCAAACAGCAGGGTAGCCATGCAAGTCTGCGATTTACTCCATTAACTGAGGTTAAGTGGTCGTAGAAGAATTACAGGAACCATCTTTGCAGTTGTAGAAATTAACACTTAGCAAACTGCGCAGAATTTAAACGGATATTGCCCATTAAGTGAGCAATTTGGGCTGAATCAGGAAATCACCTGAGAAACTATTCTAAGCAACTAATGAAAAGCTGCTACAAAAGACATTTAGCTGGAACCTTAACTCTAAGGAGAAACATGAAAGCCAGAAACACGTGATTCTGGGATTTCTGCTGTGAAAGAGGGTCTATGTTACTAGCACCGAAGAATGAAGAAAGAAGAAACTGCGTGTGATTTTATAGTAGGGCTCTTTGGCAACACAATAATCAACATGTCTATGGTATGTCTAGTTGTTACGAAATCTGTGAAAGCAGCAGAAAGCTAAGTATGGGCATGGGGAGTTAGAATCATAGAATCATTAAGGTTGGAAAAGACCTCTAAGATCGAGTCCAACCAGCAACCCAACACCACTATGCCCACTAAACCATGTCCCATGTTTTAATATAGACCATCTTGTCTAGTGTCGTAATATTTTTCTTTTTTAAATAAAATTAAAAATAACAATTTGCACCCATGTGAATGTCCTTATTCTTTCCTCAACATCACACAGTAAGCTCATGGCAAAATTAGGAATAGAAGACCGATCACTTAGTAAATCCTTCTGAAGCCACACTTACACTACAGGGACTGTGAGAGATTACACGGACCTAGGGAATTTAGTACATCCATATCAACATATAATATATGTAATATATAGCAATGAGATTGAAATACTTTCGACAGGGTAGGAAGACATCTTTTTTGGTCAGAAAGAGTGAAGGCTCACTTAAACAGAAAAAGGTGTACCTGCGAACCCTTTTGCACAGGTGCAGTGGTAACCGTTCTTGCCATCAACACAGTGGGCTCCATTCAAACACGGACTGGAGCTACATTCATTTATGTCTTCCTCACACAAGAGACCTTCAAACAGCAAGGGTTACAAGGCATAATCAAGACACTCAAGGTCTGCATGCTGCAGTGACTGAATGTGGAAGACAGCACCATACTGCTTGCATAACAAAAGGCTACTGAGATCAGGTGATAAAATTCCATATTTGACTGCTCTACTGCAAACATCTACAGAGATCACCTGTGTTACTTAGATGCTGGGATGTGAAAGATGCAAAGTTCATGGTTTGTCTTTATAAAGTTTAAAAAATATCCAGCAAGTGTTGCTGTCGATAAATGTATAGCCATAAACATGAAAAATGAGGGAGACCATTTCCGGTAGAAAACACCAGCCCTTTTTTTTAATCACAAAAAATTATCTCCTCAATAGTTTATTTCAATATTTAGAAATTAGATGCTGTTTTGGCAAAGTACTCAAGCATGTCTGTTTCCCCGCAGATTTCAATACCTTCAACATGCATGCAGGTAAGAGTTAAAAAGACTGAGATAAAAGGTAAGAAAAAGCCCGCTCATTTACTCATAGTGCTGCAGTAAAGCAACTGCATAAATGCTTTGTCTCGTCAGGCCATATTCAGTCTCACAAGCATTTTCCCTGTGAGTATTTACTAATTCCCTAAACTTCATTCCTTTTTTTTTTGTCAGACCTGAAATGTCACAAAACAGAAGTATACATGCACAAACACGCACACAGATTGTCCTTGAATGCCCATCATTTTATTTCAAAACCTATTCACATACAGTAGAACCTCACTCTAACCTGTAGATCAGGTTGCTTTCCTGTCATAATTCCACAGATGTGGAATTATACAGCCCTTGTGTTTTGTGTTATCTACTTGCCGCAGAAACAATGCCTGTCTGAAGAAGAGCTACGAAGTGAAACAAATTACCTGAATAGCCTGGTTGACAATGGCAAACAAAGGCCCCAATGCCATCTTTACACATTCCATTGTTGTGACAAGGAGATGATTTACACTCATCAACTTCTGTTTCACATTTCAAGCCTAGAATGCAAAATAAAGGACTGAGAACAGGGAGACAAAATTTGAAATTGTTCAGCAACATAGAAGTCATGACTACTTAGTGTAGGAAAACATGATGGATTAATTGCATACCAGACATTCAGGTTTATTATCTTCTCTTTAGATTGTGTTTTAACACAGATCTGAGGCAAAATGCTGTTAGAAAGGTATGACGCACATTGGGCAACAGAGTGATCAATTCCAGATACTGGCACTTAATATCTGTCACAAGCAACAGAGATCACTTCTTGATAATAGCTGAATAATAAGTCATCTGTTTGCTTTGAAGCAACTGGGAAGCTAACAGTGAAGAGGAGTACAGGCAGATCTGGTGGAATTAGCTGTGCAGAGTGCAAATTTCCAGATTTGCTAATCATAAATATTGCCAAGTGATAGGCTTTTCAAATCTACTAACTCTACTAAAAGAAACCGCATTCAAAATCCTTTTCTGCCAAACATGATATAATTCAGCAAGAACATGAGAAACTATTTCTTTTCTTGATACTTTTGTATGGTAAATCTGTGATGGATATTCCAATTAGTTAGGCTATACTCTTGCACTGAAATGTTTTGCGCCTTTATGCTTGCTCATGTTAAGTGCATGGAGACATGTTAGCTCCTTCACCTGCTTTTCAATTTTTTACCTGTATATCCAAGTGGGCATATGCAAATATATCCACTTCCCAACTGTTTGCATGTCCCATTGTTGCGGCATGGTTCCAGGAAACACTCATGAAAGACCTGCCAGAGGCAAGAATTATATGATTACAGTAAAGGTGGAAACACAGGTGGAACAAAATATAATTTTAAACTGGACACCCTATAGTCACTTTGGAAAGCTGGGGGAAAAAAGTCACTGGCATTAATTTCTAGCTCTTCCTCTTTGTCTCCTCAGCACATCAACTGTTCTTCTTTCTAGAGAAAAATACCAGGAATCTGAATTATTATTTTAAAATGACCTTTTACTTAGCAAAATGTGATCATTGCAGTTGTTTCCTTAGAACTTTCTTAGCTATTCACAGGTGACTTTTTATATTATGCTATCTTCTATATGAGAGTTCTCCACTTTGCCTCCTTTTGCACTGGCTAATCACTTCCTGCTACTGGTCATCAGGTGAACTGGTGGGGAACTTCACTGTGTGGCATTATTTTTTCTAACAGCAAACCTGAACTCAGCTGAGTAAACGATCAGCTAAAACCATGGGAGATCAGTTTGTCACCTGTCTATATGTTATATAATTGTTCAGGCAAATTTATCATCAGTGAACTTTGCTCCTGTTTACACAATATCCTAACTTCAGATTCAAACAAAGCAGTCTTGTCAGAGTTACAGACTTGGGGGGAGATGGTGGGGATAAGGGTGCATCTCCGGCGAACACTGTCACTGGAATAGTTTCTACCACATGAGGACTTGCCTGTATTTCAAAGGGGGTACTCACAGCAGAAGGGAGCTCTGCTTGCCTCCTCTCAAGTGTATCTATGTTGCAATAAGTAAAACAAAGATTTTATAACTGGGACTTAGATGCCTGGTAGCATTTTCTGGAATTCAGCATATGGAAGACATCAAATGACTGAGAATGGTCAATCTACTTTTTATAGATTGGCTGAACCTCCTCCATGGAGTTTACATTTCTTTTATAAGTGTGATAAATATTTCAGGTGAAGGGTTCAAGTCCAGAATTTAAGATTGGCAATAGCTGATGCAGCCTCCTTTGTTCAGCCAAAGTGCTTCTATGATTACAAAGAGAGTTTGAGTGTCACCCTCATGACCATCACTCTCATCTCTTCAGGAAATATAGTCAGCATAACAATTACATTTATAAAGGCCTTAGTCATTTATTGCTGCATAAGGCACTCTTTCTTTCATTCGAGATAACATTGGAAAATATATCTTGTCCTTGCCTGACTGCTGACTTTGTACTGCTTGCTGATATTTTCTGGAGAGGCTGGTACCATCATTACACTTTCCTCAGCTGCTGAAAAAGTAGAGCCAAAACCTAAAGAGGAAAGATATGAAAGTGCTCTTAATAACACTGTATGGCAAGGTCCCTATTCCATAAGGGCATAATAGTTGCATGTTAGTAACGCATCTAAAGATATGTTGAAAAAAGTGAATTTGTGGGAATAAAAAGCAAACTTTACAGTAACCACATAGTATTTTATATGTATTTTACACAAATATGTATTTGTAAGCACATACATTTCTAAAACACATATATGTGTGTATACATACAAAATATATTTTCTGTGTATTTATACACACCCACATACATGCATACACATATTTATATATATACATATAACTCTCTCTATAGTCTCTCTATATAATATACACATGCAATGTGTGTGTATGTGTGTGTATACACACTCTGTATATGTATACTGTTATTAAGCCTTGGTATGTATCACACAGTCACTCCTTCTACATAACACAGAGGCAACACCAGTTGGCAAAACCAGCTGTGAACTTCACTGGTTGAAATGGAAGGTCTACATTTGTTAAGAGAGTAAGTGAGATGTTTTTTCTAAAGACTACTGCTGGCCATCCTTCAGATGTTCCCTTTATTCACTTTCTCCAGCAGAGATAATTTGGCTTACTTGAACAATCTGTGATGGATCTGGCACCGATGACAGTAGTTGTTCCATAAAAGGGACAAGACAAGCAGTAGGACTTTCCTGGGTCTGGTTGATAGTAGTCTCTGGGACAAGGGTAGCAAGGTGTCAAACCTGTACGAGAGAACTCGCCTGCAAGACATGGTACTGCAAGAACAAAAGGACATTTTTTTGAGTGATCACTTGCACCTCCACCTTACCTTCCCCCACCTCTTTCTGGGGATTTTCTCTCCTCCCCTCAGAGTCCCTCCTCAGACTTAAAGGAATTCACTACTCTAGGAGATGCTTATTTAAATTATGCTGTTAAGTGACATGTGGTTCTCAAAGGACTATGGAAATATCTGGGAAGTATTTCTATCTAAATTCCTTTTGCTGCTCTGGGGACAGCTTTCAAATTCAACTTCCTTTCCCTTTTATCTCTCACACCTGTTTTGTTTTTTTTTTTCTTTTTTTTTTCCTTCAAGGAGGAGTAAGGACAAAAGACATCTTTTTTGTACCATTAATCCCTGTAGACTATTTCCCCTGGCAATCTTTCTGGCAAGGCTTCCCGAAGACAGTTTCTTGAAAAAAGTTATCGAACAAACTGTGTTAAAATCCAGTATTTTTGTACAGAAGATGCGGAAGCTGTTCTGGAGAGAATAGTGACAAACATCCTGTCATTCCCTTTCTCTTCTGTAAGGAAAAAGGTTTTATTTTCATGTAGGTACCCATCGCATACCTCATTTTATTCATCTTTAGATAAGAATCCATCTTGGAAATCAGAAGAAGGGCATTTGAAATAATCAGGGTATCAGGAAATGACGTATCATTTTGTTCGGAAATGCTACTTTGTCCACACTTAACCAGAAGCGGAATTCAATCTCAGGTGGATGAGTTGAATTACATTAGCTGATGTTTAAACATAATTTAGAAATTTTTAGAGTTTAATTTAAAAAATTTCATAGGCCCTTTTGTTACAAACCTCCACAAGCTGAGACATCCACTGCGCCTCTTTTTACCGTTGATGTATTTTCCGGGCAAGAGATGCAATTCCTGGATCCAAATGCTGGCTGATATGTGCCAAGTGGACATGTTTCACAGGTCTCAAGACCATTAGGTGAATACATTCCCTGCTTGCACTGAGCTATAAGGCAGAAGAATTTATAAAGATTAAGCAATGACCAACAGGAAACATGGCTCCTAACCTCTGAAAATAATGCTGAAAACACAATACGTTGTCACAAGGACTTTTATTTCTAGAGTTTACTCTACTCTGAAGGACTTCCTGGGTACAAAAAGCGAAAAAAAAAAAAGGAATTGTGGTAAGTTACTGATAGAATGGCATTATTTTAAGTGTATTAGTCCCTGCAAAACAGGCTCACAATCTCACAGAATGAAGACAGAAATTAAACAAAGCATCAAAGACCAGCTCTTCTTAAAACATCTGCCCAGACATCCTGCATGCCACAGCAGTGGTGAAAACCTGGATTTTTCTCTTTACATATGCATCAAGGGGCAGTTAGGACTGCTCCTCATTTCACAGGTTAACCTCATTCCAATATTCCCACAATGGGGACCAAAAGGATGCCACCAGGCATTCAGAAGTTGCTGTCTGAAGAAGACAAAGTTCTCACCTTTGCATTCAGAGATGCTCCTAGAGTGTAGATACTCAGTATAGCTACCAGATGGACAACTTTTGCATTCCAGCTGCCCTTCCTCATCTTGGTAGGATCCAGTCCAGCAGCTTTCACAGGTATGATGCTCCAGGGAGTAATAGGTACCCAAAGGGCAGTTGACTGTAACATTGGAAATATAAGGTTCCCCTCAGAATGCACAACCATACATACTTGTCTTGCCTCTGGGGTTCCCATTTAGTCAAGCCCTGTTATGTGAAACGTGATTCTGTTCTTCAGCAAATGGGGCATCTCTCTGAACACTGCAAAGGTCTCACTACACACAGGAAATGGAATCCAATTCCACATCACCCACAGGACTAATAGGCTTAAAAGACTGCATACCAAGCACTGTTTTCCTGTGTATCACCAAGTGTGGATATGCCTGATTTCCCCATGGGAGTGGAATCCTGGGTACAAAAGCGTCCTTTTTCCACAGGCCTTGGTTAGGAACATAAACATCCTCTGGAAGTCAAACTGCGCAAAGCATTTTTGCAGTTTATTGTTCTGGGAGACCACAAGCACTGGACTGTGTCAAACCATAACCCTCTGCAAACATCCTCTAAAACCTTGCTTTTCGAAAGGATTCTAAATATATGTAAGGAGCAAGTCATCTGGCTTACCACACATTCTGCCCCTCAGCACAGAACCAGGCCTGCAGAAAAGAAAGGCTTTCTCGGACTCCAGTGAGTTGCTGTCAGCTACAATGAGTTCGGATGCAAACTGAAAAGAATACATGGGTTGCTTATTGAGAGTCCTATTCAGCCTGTTCGTGATCGTCTCCAGAGTTTTAAGGAGCCGTCGCTGGTTTTCCAGTTCCAATGTATCATTCCTTTCACCAGGCAGTGGCACGCTAGCTGGGATATAAACAGAAAACACAAAAAGCCCACAGATTTTACAGTCAGCACTTCCAGTGTACTCTGGAGTATATCAAGAGTGCAATACTCAAGCTTGCCAGTGGAAAGTGGAAAGCAGGCCATGTACACAATGCTCTCCATGAACATGAGGCTGTGATCTTTCCCCCAAGCAGAAAGTCTGTAATGAAATGAGGCTATGAATGTCTCCAGAAAACTGTCATCTGCATCTCCAGCAGTCTTTGTAAACTGAAGGCGAAGTTTTACTGAATGCATTAGAAACATGTTTTTTAAAAAGAAGGAATAGGAGAAGGACGGTATTTTGACTTCTCTCACCTGTGATGTTAAATATTAACTTGATTTTGTGGTCGGTCATTGGAACATTCAGCTTATGCCTTTTGACTCGAGCAGGTGCTGCCTTTACAGAGGCAGAGAGATGCTTGGATAAGTCTTCTTGCGCTGCATCAACAAAATCATCATAGGAATAATCCAGCTGGTTTGCTGCCCCCCAGCCAGCAGGTCCTGTGAGGCATTAAGAAAGAACAAAAAGAGAAGCAACATCATGTGGAAAATAAGTGCCTGTACTTATTTCTAAAATACATCCTCAATAGAACGGGGTCTGTTTGAAGCTCCAGATGATGCATGCTGGCTTTGCCTCCGCACAAATGCCTACTGTACCAGCATTTTGACTAAAGAAAAAGGAAAAACCAGTCTCACTTCTAACTGGTATCCTAGAGATCCTGAATCTTGTGCAGTTAGTCAAAGCTTTAAAGAAATACTGCTATAAAAGTTCCAGGTTGCAATTCTTTCTCTTCCCCTGTCTTGCATGGATCCTCACCTGCCAGCAGTATCTTCTTAAACAATTCCATATTGGTCTCTGTTCCTCTTCCTGCTCGATTACAGACAGCACAGCCTATGCCACATGTCTCCATTGCATCTTCTTTTCACAACTCCTGAATAGTTCTACCATCGTCTGCCCTCTCAGAAAAGGCTGGTAGCATTACCTTATGTGTTTATTCCCCCCAGACAGGCATTTCCTGTTACACATAGTGAGTCAAATTCACCCCCTGTATAATGTCCTTCACCTATAACACACTTTCAACCTGAAACAATTAAACATAACCTACCTTTCCCTAATGACTAAATCTAGAGGTGCATGGTCTATTTCATTGATCTAGCTCTTTTTTCTTTAAAAACTTGAAGATAAACAAAAATTCTGCCAATTACCTGTTAGCAGTCACCTAGATTATGCTTAATTTACAGTGGAAACTAGGACAAGTTAACCCCCACAACTTTGTGGTGAATACCATGTGAGTATTCCACAACTGATTTTCTAAACTGCTGTCTCTTATGACCTGAGGAGAGTTCTCCTCTCCTGCCTCCCCAACGTAAAATCATGAGAAGCTCCACAAAAACACCAGCAAGGTTATTCTGATAACAGGTTAACATGAACCAGAAGAGAATAGGACCCTACATCCCATGCCCTCAACACTGTTTCCTCCAAGTGCCTTTAGAAGTTAGCTCCATCAATATTCATCCTTACCCGGATGACAACTGCAAACTGAACACCCAGCACCCCCATGGACAATTACAAACAAATGTGCTCCCAAACTCAGTGAAGCACGTTTAAAAGGTGAGAATAAACAGGAAGCTCTACCAAGTAACTCCACTATTAACCTGTAAGAGAGCCACAATCCTGTGACAGAGTACGTATTCTGAGGTTGATCTGCCATAATACCTCCTGCTAAGATAGGTAATACAAGTTATCTGTTTTTAGCCATTCTGCTTTGAGCACCCCCATGGGACTCAGAAATGCCAAGGGCAACAGCAGTACAACATGGACACTAACCTGTTGGAAAAGGGACTGACAATGACAACTTAGCTGGCATAAAGCAAAGTGGGAACAATCACTAGGACTGTCACAGCTTTCACTCTGATATAGCTACAGTCATCCTGCAAAATCTGCCCTTGCATACATGAAGTCATTTCACAGCTAATGGGCAAACTTAAGCTTGTATAGCTTTACACTGTGAGGGTTCTGTGCTGATCTGAACCAGCATCAAGGATGCTCCTCATTTTCTTAACAATCTCTAGAACCATCTATTGTACTTTTTCAGTATTTTGGTTTGAAACTGTATGTTTTTAAAAAGTTGCTTTCTTCCAGGCTAACCAAGCAGGTTTGTGTGTGTGTTCTTTTTTATCCCTCCCCATCATGAGGCATCTCAGTAAACTTTTCCTCTATACTATATAGGAAGCAGTACCAAAACCAGACAGCAAACAGTTCCATAATATTGTTATAAAACCTATTATGTAATTGCTTACTATCTTAAGATATTTAAAAATACCTCACACAACACATTGTATACTTCAGAACAAAAGGAATTATGCCACATTAAACTTGGATGGCTAATCTATGCATTCAATAATTACCAATGGCAAATCCATTTTCGTAATCGTAATTATATTCCAAGCAATGTTTCTGTGTCTGATCTTCCAATCTGCAGTCAATATCATCAACATCATTACAGAATGATGGGACCTTCCAACACAAAGAAGAATAACATTAAAAAATAAAACCACATAGCCCCCTCCCCTGACTTATAAAAACTGTAAAAATGTAAAGCACTGCCAGTGACACTAGATTTCCCTTTTCATGTCTCTTATAATCTGGCAAGGTCTGCTGAAAGAAGTATGTTCTACTGATACAGTTGGGAAATAAGAGGGTAACTTATGGGCATACAAATTCTTTGTTATAGAAGATCTTTTTTATAAGAGAAGATGTCCATTCAGTCAACCACTCTTGCATGTGAAATCCCAAAAGACAGAAATAAGTTCAGGCTTGTGTCTCCCTGCTGAAGACAACAGGAGAGCTCACATGTTTGAAAACATCTGTGGTTTTTCCAGCTATGTAACTTGTAATTCTGTCAGGTATACAACAATGCTGTCACTTTATTTCTAGCTTTCAAACCTCATTTCTTCACATCCATCTCTCCCTACCCATGGAACGGACCCATGCATTCCACCAAGAGACCTCAGAGGACAGGGAAAAGCATCCAAGAAGGACAGAAACCACAGAACAGAAAACTTGACAGAAACCTTTCTGGTATTTCTTCTCTCCACAAAAGCCGTGGAGATTAGATAAGAACAGATGAATGTGTGATTTTTGATAAAATCTGTATTTCTTGCTTTTTCCAGAAAGGTTTCAAGCAAGTTGGGCTCTAAGTCATGTTTTGGAATTGCTTTGCTTTTTCCATATCAATTTGCATTGGAAAGATGGCTTCTGCTGATTCCCCTCTTTTCAGGTCTCTGCTAGAATTTCAAATTCTTGGGAATAAGAATAGGCATATTCAAAACAGCCTTCTTGACTGTTTTCCCAGATTGTTGCATTTTGATATAATTGCTTGGGCAGGTCACTAAGCATTTTTTCCTTATTATCTTTTGCTTGCTGACAGTGACCATCTAAGCACTGGAACCTAGTGGTAGCTGGCTCTTAAGGGAAAGGAACAGAAACAAAACCAGCCAAGATTTCTCTACTGGAAGAGAACAAACCTGAAGCAAGGCAAGAGAGTAACAGATATTTAGGTCCAAGTGTCAGAGATTGCCTGAAGTGTTATGTATGTTTTCAGCCATTTGACAAGGGCTACTGACATATATTCCAAAGTTGCAGGAGTTTGTTCATCAGCTGTACGTGCTAATAATGTTTTTTAGTTAGCAGAGAAGCTTTTAGCATATGGGTCTTGTCCCGCAAAAAAAATCTGTAAATGCCCAGTGTTCTCTTCTGGCGCAATGCTATCACACTAGGCCTGGGCATCCACTCCTGAGACCACAACTCAAAGTCCTGCTGCTTCTGCTTTGCAGCTGAGGACAGACTCGTGCTTAAGAGGGGAGATTGTGATACTGAAGTGGAAAGCAAGGGACACGGTAGAGAAAGAACTTGTTACCCCTTCAAATTCAGTGCCATGCAGTTCTTAATGATAAAAGTGAAAACTCAGAAACTTAAGAAACATGAGCAAATTATTTAAATCACTACTACTGGATTAAAGTGCCTGGACTTAGGCATCAAATGTGGAATTTATCTATTTGTATACATGTGTATTCACTTATATTATATGGATATATGTTATACATATTCTATATAAAATACACACATTTTATAATCACATCCAACTTTCAAAAAACCCATTGAGGTTAGGGGACAATTGACTGGGATTTTCAAAACTGCACAGGTTCTTTTCAGAAGCCTACTGAAAATCTATCAGTGCCAGGTCCCTAAGCTACCTGGACACTTCTATAAATTCTGTCCTATATAACTTCACATTGAAGACTGAACTGAATTACATTAAAATGCCAGTGAAACATCTTTATTTTTAAAGGAAACTTGTAATCTTTTGAAAAAGCACAGATTTCATTTACGGGTTTCTGTATTTTCCTTGTATGAAATTAGTTAGCCAGGAAAAGTAACAACAAGGTACATTTTTTAAAAAGTACGTAAGAGGAAGGAGTATTTACTAACCTACCATTTTACCAAGCGCACTTTGGAATGCATCAGTAAAGCTATTTAGAAGACTGTTGTCATCACATCGTGTTGCTTTGTAGAGCATCTCAAAGGATTTGAACCCATGGTTTGCAAAACGATTTACTGAAAAATGTTGGAGGAGTAAATTTTTACTGGTCAGTGCAAGAGCTCCAGAGCTAAAAGCAAGATTATCCAGGCTAAAACTGGAATACGCTAAGCTAAGATGCATTGTCTTTAAATCAGCAACCTAAATTCTCAGTGTTATATACATGAAAATGGATCACTCATACCTCAGCCAATGCAGTTGAATATGACCCTTTGGCAGGCATCAAATTTATTGGGAAAGCCAACAGACATTAAGAAAAGGTCTGTCATTTATCTATTTCAGCATTTTCTTAATGGAAGAAACCTGTGAGCTGTCAACTAAAAAAGTCCATACTTACTTTTTACTCAGAGAGAAGCAATAAATATTAGAAGTCCTATTACTAATGCTGCTAGGCTAAATATGAAAAATTCTCATCCAGAATTTAAGCAAATCAAAGTTCCTAGGTGTCCAAGTTACAAATTTTGAATTGATAGCTAGCTCTGAAACATAACTCTCATTTGCTTATAGTTGAAACACTGATCTCGTTTGCTGAAACTAAGAAATCCACTCTGATGGAAGTGGATGCAACATGGTGCCAAGAATGACTTCATATGTAGCTCTAATACATTTGTTATTAAAATGTCACCAAAGCTGGGAAATTCCACAGCTGAAGTTTTGCATGTGTCCATCTCAAAGAAAATACATAAACACTTCTGATTTGGTGATAACTAGATATGTAAGTACAGCGTGCACTGTGCATTTGGATCAGTAAGTTGAAAATACTATCAAATTCACTATTGCAAATACTATTGAAAAGACACTGTTAGTGTTTGTAAATGAACTGTTTCAAATATCAATTCAAAATAATGACAGAACTTGTTTATTTTGCCATTTTTGCTATTTTGTGATTCCCAGGATTCAAATTCACTGCTATTTTTGTGTTTTAGACAGCTTCTGAAATAACACATTTAGGGACTTCCAGACATTCTTTCACAATATTTGTAACAATTTGGAGGCAGAGGACAGAAAAGATTTGTTATCATCAAATAGAAGTCATAATTTCTAAAATATTTTCATTTACTTCCTCATTAAACATAGTGTTTGATGAGTTGCAGATTCATTTTGGTAACAATAAGACTTACAAGAGCAGCCAGGCCACTCTGGAGAATAAGGCGGCTTCCAGACACCATCCTCATACGCACAATAGTAGTTTTCACTTGATCCTTCTGAAAAGCTGTAACCCTCTGCACAGTGCAATGTGCAATTAACTCCTGCTTCATCCGACGTGCATGTAAAATCACCATTCATAGGCTCAAAGGAGATTTCACAGGGAGAACCTATGAAAATACAATGATTTATATATTGATGAATGTGGTGAAGTAAGTAAGCACACAGGAAAACAGGACTGACAGGATTTCCAAAAGTACCTAGTATCAACCTGATCTTGCCTCTGTTGAAGTCTGTGGAAGTGTTATTTGTTACTTCCATAAAGGCAGGATCAAGCTACTGCTAAATTATTCTCAAACTCTGCCACTGGCATTTGAAATCCAGAAACGTGAAGACTTAAAAAAATTTGTAATACGTATGAGAAATTTAAAAAACCTCAGAAATACAAGACCAAACCCTTCTGTACTTCTTTTGCAAAGGTGCATGCAAAGCACATACTTACTAAAATAATGCAAAACATTAATCTAAATTTTTACATGAATGTTCATACAATGCATTCTAGTAAACTATATTACATCTTAAATTCTGAAACTATAAACATTACCCATTCTGCACTACTGCAACAACACATGGACTTGTCAGAATCATCTTAGGAGGGACTGACTGTAAAACCTCAGTTATGATTTATTTTACAGGCCAATTGTGAAGGAGACTGGAAATGTCTGAAAACATCATGTCACAAACACTGAACCACAAAAAGTCTGAGGTGGTGTAGAACTTGAAATAATGCCAATTCTAAGCACTTGCTTGTTCTTGCTAAGATTTACAGCAAATCAGAAATTAGCATATCCATTTGCAACTTACCTTTTCTGAAAGCTATAACCAAAATTCTGGTCTGCATGATTTTAAATTCTCTCTTCGCTAACAGATTTTTTTATACAGATGTCCAACTGAGCCATAAACACTAGAGAGCAGAGATGAAGTAGAATTTTCATCCTTAATACTTTATCTGCCAAATTATTGTTTGGCTTTTAAAAAAGAAAGTGAACTGTGGGGAAAAGGTGTCTATGCAATAAAACACAGTTGCACCACTATATCTATAGGTACAGACAGCTTCTAAAATCTAAAGAGTGTTCTAGTACCTGCTACAGTATTTGTAGGTGATTACAGAAATATTTCCATAATGTTTTCCTTTTTAACCACAAATTTGAAGTAAGACTTCAGTAACACCTATTAATTCATTTCACATGGTATCTGTCACTGAGGAAAAAAAAATGGATACATTACCGTAAGTTCTACTACTTAACGAATCATAATTTCAGTGCTCTTACACCTAATTTTAATTTATAGGACCAAATTCACGCTGTGCAGCTTCAGTCTTAGAAAATTTATTCGCTGGTACTAACGAATATCCTTCAAGTTCCTCCGATATAAAATGGGAATAACTAAAAGGAAAAGCGAAGACTAAAAGAAAGTGGAGTAGCATTGCATCCTTTATCATATTCAGATAAAACAATGCCATACACTCTTGACCAGAAGATTAAGACAACAAACCTTTAATGACAATGTGGATCTCACATGTCCTGTTATTGCCAGAGGGATCCATGGCTGTGTATTGAACTGTTGTCTCTCCTTTGGGAAAGAGATCTCCAGGTGCATGACTCCTAGTGACAGTCAGTGGAGCACCTAGAAGAATTAAAAGACAACCTAAAACATCAATAAGTAAAAGAGGGTTGCTCACACCCAATCTTGACAAATGGAGAAGGAAATGGCAGCATGTCTTCCAAATTATGTGTTCTTAAAAGTAAGTAAGTAAAAAAACCCTCAAAAAATCCTAAACTCCAAGGGATCAAGGGTCGACAGGCTGGAGTTCCCTAGCCTTCCGCTGTTGCATGCATCTTTTGGGGTGCACAATCTCACCTGAATTGTCTGAAAATTGTGGTTCTTCCCATGTCGCTGGATACTCATTCTCTACTGCTTGCACGGGTGGTGGAGATCTGCATCTGTCAATTACAGGAGGTTCTGCATCTGCAGAATTTGAAGGGATGGAATGACATTAGCTTACTGAACTGCTGCCACACTCAAATGAAATCTATAATCACAAGTAGTCAGGTAAACAGCAGTTTTAACTTAGCATCAGAAGATACAAGAAAGTTAGGTGCACACTTGTAAGCTGCTGCAACTGTTAGATGCTGAGGGAATGGACAAAACTAATTCTTCCGCTGAACTCATGGTTTCTGCATTCTGTTTGCTTTCTACAAAGCAAACCTCGTTTAACAGGACTGCTGAATAATGCAACTATCTGACAGAAATATCTGAACAATGATTTGCATCAGCAATGTGTGGGAACCTTGGAAATTTTGTTGGAGTCTTTCAAGAAATAAAAAAAAAGATATATATGATGAAGGCAATAAGAGACAGCACAATAAAGCATTTAATCTACCAGTGTGAGGAGAAACCTTAACATTCAGAATGAACCACAGAACAAAACACAACCCAAACTGAACATCTGGGAGCAATGACTGCACACTATGCAAACTGTGACCCAAGATCAGCAAAGCATTTACAGAGATGATATTACTCCTGAGCTTATACCTGCATGCATAAAGGTCACAGTGACTCACAGTCTCTTTCTGCACAAAATTAGAAAGTTTCAACCATGACAGACTCTTCCCCAGTGATTTTTACCAGCACTTACCAATAACCTTGACACTGAACGTACAGCTTGCCTCATTGCCCGACTTATCAGCTGCTGTGTAAGTAATGGCAACTTCGCCAATTGGGAGAAGAAACGGCGGTATGAAAGCTGGGGTAACGTGAACTGAGACCTTTTATAGGAAAACACTTGTTATTTGAAAAACAAAGCTGGTTAGTAATCACGACACTCATATTTCAAGAAATGGCCACAAAATAGTATCCTTCAATGTCAAGCTTACTAATTCTTAACGCAAATAGCCTCTTCAAGTAATGAGGGCAGACTTTGCAACAGAGTGCTCTGCTCCCCTTCTCAACACTGCCTTCTTTATAGCAACAGGGATTTACTCAGTCAGGATTTAGACCCTGACCTGCTGCAGTTTACAGCACCGTGCATTAAGAAAACTCAAGACTGACTTTTGTTTGCCTCACTGCACTGAACACACACTACGCCAGCTCAGAACCTGCTTTGTCTGCAGTTCAGCTCTCCAGCTGCAAAGGCAGCATACCTGGGAGACGAGTGAAGCAGAAAGTTGTGGGCTATAAGTGCTTACACATCCAGTTTTAATCTACGTATGTTTATGAGTCAATAGCCCACAGATGCTTCAAAACATTCTGGCACGGCAAAGGAACCCTACATTTGGAGTAAATGACACTTACATGCTGTCTACGGCTCTTTCATATGGATTAGAACCGTCTTAAGGAACTTCTCTTTAAAAGAACTGGTTTCATGTGAACAAGTTTATCTGACAACTGTGGCTTTGACAAACCAGCTACATCTAAGAGCTAAGGCACTTGTTTTCTACAGTTCAATGAATGACCCTGTGTCAGCAGAGCTACAATACCTGACCATGGCTATGCTACAGCAAAAAATGTGTAAACTTAAACCTCTTTTACTGGGATAGCTCAGTTTCCTGTGTTTGCAGCAAATTAAAAGCACACACAGCGTCACTGTTCCTCTGCTGACTCATGATAAAGCATTCAGTTGTTGTAACTTCATGATGTCTGAGCCTGTAGGGAATGTTACTTTTCATAAAACAGCTCTGCAGCAAGTTTTCCTTGTAACTCCACTTCCAGACTCCTGATACCCATAGTAGCCAAAGGCCCACGTCTGAACCTTGCATTGGATAGGAAAATGAGATTTTTCTTTCTCACCTAGGAAGCTGAAACGAGTTTTTACTTATCACAGTGTGTTCTTGTTAGCCTTTTGGATTAATGAACTGGTTTACTTCCTTCTGAGAAAGTTTATTAAACTTCTTCACATTCTAAGAGCTCATTTTTAAAGCAGCTGTCTCCATCTTATAAACAAGGGCACATTCTTTCTTTTGACCACATAAATTAATCATATGAGATTTTATGCACTTAAACACCATGCAGAGTTTGTGTCTGCATAACCCTAAACAAGATAGAAAATGCTGAATTCTCAAGATACAAACTTTTCAGCAGATTTTTCTTCTACTCCTGCTTATCAGAAGAAAGAAATTCTAGTGGATCATAAAATTAATTTGAAATAGCTAGCTATAGAAAGACCGCCTCCTGTCAAATATATAGATTTTAACTTGCCTCATCTCCAGAGTTATCCTCAGCTGTTGGTACCTGCCAGCTGATATTAGCAGAGTTATGATGTTCCAGAGTCTCAGTCTCAATATTTTCTGGACAGTGGATCCGAGGAGCTTCAATATCTGATCCAGAAAAAGACAAACTAGTTTTATATGTGGGATTATAGAAATAAAATCTCTATAATGGTTAGACTGCAACTTGTTATAATCACTGTTTTTTGTGCTGGAATATAATGCCTGGAATATAAATGCACATATTTTTGCAAACTTCCTGCCTCTGCCCCTTTTTAATTCTTGCCTACAGGCTCATACATAAACAGTAAATTCTCCTGGGGATGGGACTTTTTTTTTTGCTGTATTTTTGTACATCACTGAGCACAATGAGACTCCGGTTTCTACACGCAACCATAAACCAAGGAATAAATAAGAGAGAATGAATTTGTTTCTCTTATTATTCATCCATTCATTACACACATACATCATTAAGAAGGAATGGCTTCTCTATGCTTTCACTGCCCACACACATGACACATACAGATGAAAACACTTGTTTCTCATAATCAGTGACTTAAAAAAAAGTATTTGTGACATGATATAGGTACTATGAACAAGACAGTAGTGACTCTCAAATTCCCTGGAGCATGGACTTGAAAGAAACAATGGCAAGATTTCTGGCACCAACTGCTGGAAATGTTCCTTAATAAACTCCTGCTACAAGGTATTACATAGGACAAATGGAGTCTTCTTGTCAGGTATGTGACAATGCTGGATGGTTTCAAAGGACTGGTGGTACAATATGGGTAACATCACCACCAACATTTAAGCCTCAGGTTTCTCTGACAAAGTTAAAGTACTTCTTCATTTCCCTGGCACAGGGCCTCCCAAAACATTTGTGGTCAGGTTATTTTATTGCTGTAGTGTTGTTTGATAAATGGTCTCTGGACTCATGAGACAAGGACGCATTGAGCTCTGAACTCATCTATGCCCAGGAGGCTTTAAAACAACTCAGAACTAATACCACTTATATTTTTATTACTAAATAGTTCCAGTAAAGACATAACTCAGGCAATTAAATCTCTGTAACTAAGAGTGCAAAGCCATAAATACAAGTGATTTTGCCTTCCTCTGAACTCATTCTGATGAAAATTTTATTAGAAATGCACTCCTTCCAATAACTACCAGTTATGGTTCACACTCCCCTGACCATGGCCTTCAGGCTGGGGCAAATTCCATTTAAAAGTGAAATTCTGTAGAAGGACTAATAAATAAGTCAGAAAGAAAATGGCTATTTTGAACTGGCCAAATATGTTGGCAGCAAAATATAGAGAGACAATAACAGGAATGAAAGCAGTTGAAATGCAACTGTTCATTTTTACTACAGAATAATAACCTTCAGAGTTTCTGGATGCCTCTTATTTTTGGGTTTTATGCACTAGTAATATCTAAAGCTTGAATCCAAGCCATGCTGCTTTATCTTGATCCAAACACTTCAGCTTGTAGCCTTGTGCTGGGATCCCATCAAATATTAAAAACCGTGGTTTGGCACAGGTTTACACAAAAGATTCGGAAAAACAATGTGGTACATCACAGAGTGAGAAATAAGAGAGGGATAAAATCTTCCTGGCCATTACAGAGAAAAAAGTTCCCACCTCAGTTTCTGTAGTGACCTGGCATGATGACTGCCATAACTGTTTTCTGTACCATTCTTTCACCCAGTGGCTGGCGAGGACCCCAGTTTGGGGTGGAAGCATTAGTTCTAGGAGCACAATAGTTCACGAACAGGTGAATAGCACATTCCCAGACAAACTGCACTTTTGCTGGTATCCTCCTATAATCCAAAGCCAAACTCCTTCCAACTCTGTGCATGTGTGTAAGGGCATAAATAACCTAACATTTCTAGAAGAGGTGGGTAAACATGGCAGAAACATACTCAAATGCACGTAACCATCTTCTGCCCATCTTTATACTCCATGCACTTGTGTCAGCCAATTTTGGCCTTAACTCTTGTGCACTGTTGCTCGGGGCATGTCAACAGCCACAGTCAGTTCAAAGACGACTGAAATGAACCATCCCTGTACAGTCTGTCTATCAGGCAGGGTTTACACAGCGTTTACAGACTTGCTCTGACTTCAGGGCTTACATAAACCTGTGCTAAACCAGTAATGGTATTATTATCATTGTTGTTTTACTAGGAGTGTGGGTTCCATTTTGACTATCTTTAAGCTAAGAGCTTTCACTTCTAGTCCAAAATTTCGAATTTAGCTGGTCATCAGGCCTTTCTAGCAGGCAGTTTTTCAACAACAGACTTATGAGATGGATCACCGGAGAGACAGTTGATGATGAGCACTATAAGATGGCACTCAAGCAACCTCTGAACTCCACATTTTTATTACAAACCACAAGTAAATCTGACAGCCAAGCTATAATGGTACAACACTTCTTACAGACTGTTTAAATCATGCTTTCCCCAGTTCAAACCTGTCCTCACTCAGTTATTTGCTTTGTGCTTCCCTTCAATCCTGCACACATGTGGACACAGAAATGGTTTTGTGCTGGTCTCTACCTTTACACAGAGCCTCCTGGATGTTTGCACTCCATCTCCCAAATGAAATGCACCTTAGTTCTTCTCTAGCTCCAGACAAGATGAATCCTTGGGGACAGCTCAGCTGGCACACAGTCCCAGAAACGGCAGGCTCCAGCCCACATCTGGGAGGGAGAACTGTTACACCTGCTGGTTTCTGGAGGATGGGGCAACGCATTTCTGCAAGACACCAGTAGGACATGTCTTTTAACTGACGTACACAAAGCATACATTCAAAATAATCTGCAGATAAAGTCAGAAGGAACTCAGAAAGAACACAAAATACACAAACTTTTTAAGAGTCTGCATGCGCTATGAATGCATCAAAACAGTAAGAGCTGCTGAAGCTTTGTACTCCAGTGCTGACTGAAGTAAACAGCACTCAGGACATCAGGTCTTCTATTCTCTTGCTCATGCTTTTCACTGAGGCAGAAACACGGTATTTTTCATGTGGCTCCACTAGATCTTACTCTCTCACTGTTTTGGTGGTTTGTTTTTTTTTCCTTTATAACTTCACCTTTCATGGTTGCTTTGTAGCTGCATTCCTTGCCTTCTATGGAAACCAGACCTTCATGGCAGGAAAGAGGCAAGCGTCTTGTATCTATTGCCTTCTACAGCTTTTACACTGTCTCTTGAAATAAGAATGAGAGAAGAAAAAGGACACCCTGCCATCAGCTCGCTGTAGGTTAGGGACATGGCATGTGCTTTTGCCTACGGCATTCCAAACTGAATGAAATTGGTCTTGACACTATTCAAACCCAGATGCAAAGACTCCGGGTGACCATAAGTGGCAGCTGACCTTCTCTGTAAAGTCAGGAAGGGCTGATGGTTGCTTAAAGGCTTAAAATGTTAGTTTTGAACTATTTTATTACTAGAATTCACTACAAATTTTGAAGACCATTTGCATCAACGGGTAAACTTCCAAGAACCACAATGTGCGTAAACAGGTTCAATTGCCACAAAAGCTTTGTTTCATTTTTGAGCTGTTGTTTTTACCATGTGAGGCAAGGAATGCTATTTTTACTTCAAACATGGAGGCATTAACAAACAGGGCAAAAAGGGGTATCCCATGAACGCAGGTCGTAGACTTTCAGTAGCGTTTCTTACAACAGATAGTAGACAAACACACAAGAAAAATGCTTCATTATTTATAGCCAATGAGAAGACTTGTAACTCTTTAGCTAGTCAGTGAAGAAAGCAGAAAGGTCTTTACACAAAGGGCACACAAAGAAGAACCCAACCCAGCTACAAAAGGGAAAGCTCTGTTCATCTCTTTGCAATGGTTTAATGACACAGAAGTGATTCACATTCAGAACGCTTCATAACCCTTTCCTCTCCTCTCCCAAAATACGCAGTGAGTAACTGAAAACTGTTTTTTCTGCATGAAACAAAATTTAAGGAGTCTAAGCATTCTAAGCATTTTCTGCCCTTTAAACTCTCAATACTGAAATCGTGCTTGAAGTCCAAGCAATTAATAACTGCACTTCATTTCAACAGTATGCAAAGATCACAAATGTTAACACATTTGTTCACTTCAGGCAGACACTGTTGGCTATGCAATGTACAACAACTCCACCAGAAAAAAAAACCCAAATCCTGACTTTTGGTTGCTCACCACAGGAAGGTGAGCAAATAGCAAAAAGATCAGAAATTGGAAAACACAATGTTTGAAAAGACAAGTTAAAATCATTAAAATGTATATTATTCAGGGAACAAGTAGAAAAAAGGCTGCGAAAGGTGTAAGCATGAAATCCAGAGAAAAACTGCAGTTCTTCAGGAAGCAGTAACAGCCCTCCTGGTTGAGATGTTTCCAACTGTACTAGCAAAATCCTAGTAGAGCACAATCCTGAAACATCTGACAAACATTCAGGATATAATCTTTGGTGTATCTAGGCCAAGGGAATCTCTTCTAAGATTCTAAGTGGGACAGGTTTTTACCAGGAAAAAAACTGTAATAGTGTTGTTTAGCTTTTTTATCTGTGTTCAATTCCAGAGCTTGATCAAGCTGACTCAGGAAGTCTGGACTTCATGAGCAGCAGAGTGATATCCATTATATTAGTCATATGTATAGGGAATTAATAGAGAGAGAGGAAAAAAGAACTTCTAAGGAAAGACAAGAATCTGCTTTCGTCTGCAACTGCCTGTGATGAACCACAACACTGTATTACAACTCTTAACATCAAGAGGAACTTCAATATTGTTACAAAAGAAAAGATTACCAAGCAAATCATGCCTCCTTCCTTCAACCCCTTCGCAAACACAATGTTTCAGGGAAAGAATTGGCCAATTGCAGTTAGAAGTGTGGACCAGTAATTCTTTCAACACTAGGTGGCATCAACACCCTGGATGCCATTCGCATTTTTACCTTTCTTCACTAAACCTTGATCAAAGCAAGGAGAACAGTATCTTGCAAAACTCATTATTTTAACATGCTGGATATTAATCTTTCACCAGTGGGGAAGGAAACACAAGAACCTGACTGTGGAAATTTTTTTTTTTCTAATTGGACAAATGACAAAGCTTCCCTTTTCAGCAGTTATTTTGTTTGTAAGCCATCTATAATATATGTAACCTACTCAAAAGTAACTCACTGCTAACAGCATCTTTCATGAAAAATATAAAAACTTAAAACATATGTAATAGCCAAAATTGCATTAGCTTCCAGTCTCTTGGAAAAAGATGTATATGACAACAGACCTCACAGAGGTGACTGTAAACAATTCCAGCTATGTTATGGTACAGTGTCAGTTACGCTTACAGACGGTTGTAGTACAGTCTCGGTGAGCTAACTTTTAAATAGGGTAAACTTTGCACTGATGCACACTCAAACTGAAAAGCTTTCAGAAAAAGAGCTAGGAGAATACCCTGAGGTCCAAGAAATCTGTTTCAAGGTAAGGGACTGAACCCAGTTCCACTTCGTTTTTCTAACAGAAGGGTCGGAAATGAATAAATCATCAATTACAAATGCCTAAATGCAGCAGGATTTCTGGTATCTTTTATGTAGCAGATGATAAGTCATAGTTAGGAGCTGTTCAGATTGAAAATAAGTGGAGAATACCTCCATGATGATGATGGACTTCCAGAAAATGAGTACAAAGGGCAGTTTTTGAGGAGGACACGGTATTAGTCTTCTGATTTGCATCCTTCCCTGAATAAAACTCCACACATCTGTATTGACCAAGAATCTCAGCAAGCTTGTTCTAAACACCAGTCACAACAAGAAGCAGCAGAGAGGTTTTCCAGCTAACACTCTTCCCGCTGTGACAATCAAAGGTAACTTTTATACTAGATTTTCAAACTCAACAAAAATAAGATATTGCCATGGGCAGAAATGGAGGCAATATTGCATGGTGTGAAGAAATCTTCTGATACAGAGTAGAGCTGGATTTTAATAATCAAAATGCTAAGCTAGGAAGGATGAATTGAACTGATGAATACAGTTAATCTTCCAATTATAATCTTCCAACAGGATTTCAGGGTCCCTTCCTTTTGAAGTTAATTGAAGTTTTTCCACTGACTTCAACAGAAGAAAGGTTAGGATCTCTTAAGAAACCCTCTTGATAAATTAATACTTCTGGATTATTTTCATCATTTTAGAGAACATATCTACAGTTAGAAATTTATTCTTGTCTCATGCAAAGTCCACATTTTTAAGCCCACAGAAAACAGTAAAAAATAGCCACAGGTTCAAGCCAAGTCACCCTAGTGGCATCACATTTACTGGACCCAACGATATGTACTTCACCCTGACTTTAGTCAGCACTGGATCAGCTTCTGAATTGCTGGACTTTAAGCTTGTGCTTTTTTTTTTTTTGCAGTCTACACTTGGAAGTGTTTCAACTGTATTTCTTCCTCCTACCTTTCTAAGTTAATTTAATATCTGTCACTAGTCCTAAATGGGTACTTCTGGAACAACAACATATGCTTACCTATCCCTGCCCAGCTGGTGTGACCTCTGAATCCTGCCTTAGAGGTGCTTGGTCCCTAACTTGTCTAAACTCTTATTCCCTGCTGGGAGTTCAGCAAAAGTAACAACTGCCACATCTCTACTTGGCACTCACAGTGCCTGGCTAACATACCTTAGTACTTGTCTGGAGGTCATCTTTAGCTTTAAGATGGTAACTCAAACCCCTGGTTGTTCACATTTAATCTGTAGTATAGGCCTACAACTTGCATGTTTCCTACAACACATTGTGTGACAGTGTCTTAACACTCACCAGACGCAATAACCTTCTAGTTATCAGCTGCCTGTGCTGGATTTCAGCGGTAATCTGTCCACTTTCTCCACTTACAAATTCCTTTGCGCCTCCCCAACTTCTAAGACTTGTATAAAACATCCATAGACAAATCCTCACTCCTGTCTTAGCTTCATCAGATATTAAAATAGGGAGAGTTTCTCACTCATGGCAGCATGTCAGAAAAGGCTGCACTCTGACATGATCAGACAGAGTGTGATCAGATACCTACCCACACACTTTGGCTCCTTTGAATCCCACTGTGAAGTTCCCTGGCAGGTGAGTTTGGTGTTTCCTTCTACTTCATAGCCCTCATTGCAGGTCACAAAACATACTGTCTTATAGGAGATATCAGCTGTTGAACAATTAATGTGTCCATTTTCAGGAGCCCGAAGTTTGGGACATGTTCGAACTGCAAAGGGAAAAAAAACCCAGTTCACTCTGCAGCACTGAGAACCAGTGGAGTTACACTAGTTGGCCCAGGTTTTCAGGGGTGGGACAGGTACTGACTTGTACACTAGTTACAGTAGTTTGTACAAATTTAGGGAATAGGGCTGGAACAAGGCTGATATTTTTCAAAGGCTTGATGCCTTCCTCTTACGAAGTCCTACATAGCACATATGAGGTAGGGTACACACTTCCAAGCTTACCGAAGTTCTGATATAACTCCAGGCTACCAAACTAGCTGTGCTTAGAAATGTTCCTAGCCATCGAAGGCATCTGGCACACACACTGTGTGGCCTGTGCTAGTAATGTTTATCAGCCTTCAAAACAGGACAGCTGCAGGCAAATGGAATCCTGTGGAAAAGTGTGTGTCTTTGGAAGTTTCTAATCCCCCAGCCATGCCTGAGAGTTCTTTGCGGGATTTCCAACTGGCAGTCTGGTACAGGCTGAGTGCACGACAGGGAGGAGGCTAAGAAATTATTAACAGGGCAGATGACAGTGTCGCAGTGCTCAGGAAGATTCTCAGGTGCTCTGGAGTGTATTGATGTAGTCACAGACACATGTGATCCTCCACAAATCCGAACACCAGACATTCATCACGGTGGGAGAGAGAGAGAGAGGAAGAAGGAATACAAGGCAGTCATAGACAACAGGACCACGAGAGATGAAAAGGAACAAATTAGGCTTTTGCTGAGACAAAAGAGACCCTTTCAGGTGTAGGGCTCCCCATGGAGGCAGTCCTGGCTCCTGCTCAGCACAGAGACCCTTCTGCTGACATGCCTCAGAAACACTGCAAGCAGCATGATACCAAGGAGAAAGCAGTCCTGTGCAGGATGTGTGTGCAGAAAGGGAAGTGGGGCATGGAGGATGATCCTCAGATTGTCTTACGGTTTTGTTACCGAATCCTGATTCTGCAATTTAACACAAAACTACACTGTAATTAAGACTGATCGCAAAACAGCTGAATGATAGTAAGAAGAAAAAGGCAGTAGCACTGGTATGGCCTGGATTTATGTTCTTTGTTTCAGTGTCATAACCTCAAGCTCTTCTACTAGGACCTCCTTCCTTTGCACTGCCTCCAGCTCTCCTCCTCTTCAGCCAGTATCTTATGCTTCTGCATTTGTCCCCTTGCTCCCCTCTGGACAAGACTCTGAGCTACATACACACTGCCTGGCCTTTGAGTATCTCAAACAGCTAAGCTGTACACACCTACTGTCTGGCCATGACTATCTCATGACGATACATGGATGACAACTGGGTGATAGCAAGCCCAAATGTGTAGGTGCCTGCTGAGGTCCCAGTGCACCTTTTCCTTCAATAATTCATGCCTCTCTTCAATAACCAGCTACTGATTTTCCAAAACCAACTCCTATGGTTGAAAGCCCTGCTCTTAGCTGGAGCTGGCAGATACTGCTCAGTATGTTCGACAGTTATTAGGGGGAGAAAAACACACAAAGGCAAACCGTGTGATTGCTCAAAAATACAATCAAGAAAACTGCAGTTCCTAAACTCTGTTCTCCCTCGATTGTCTTCCACAGCTTCTGTTGACCTTGCTGGCAGGAGGACAAGGCCTGATGACAGGTGGCTTCAGAGATCTGGACAATTTCTCCACTGTGGTTTGGGATGCCGATTTTACCAACTAACCCATCCTTGCTGCCGCCAGATAGGAGGCAAACCACAAGCTCCTCTCCAAATGCACTCAAAAGTAAGCCAACTTGGCAACTTTCTCTCCTTTTCCCAGTAGTTGTTTACTCTGCACACTGATGAGACACACCTACAAGTGGACACACAGACTGAACAGATCACTATACACCCTCAAACTAATAAATGGGCAAATACCCTGAGCGCTCCTTCAAATGAAAGCCACCTGTATAAATACCAATAACTACAAGCCCATCAAAGCTACAAAAACCACACGCTAAATAATGCCTTTTTTGAAAACAGTTGTAGTGGCACCTGAGTGGGGAAAAAAGTCTGTAGCAAATCTTATGTATACTGGATAGGAAAGAAAGAAAGAAAAACAGCCATTCAGATGCACCTGATATATTTTTGCATTACCACTGTCTCATGTTTACTCTCCGGAAGTACTATTCCTCTTGTGCTTGCATATACACAGGCATCCTCTAGGAAGTGCATTTAAGAGCATAAAAAAGATCTTGAAACTTGCATCTTGCAAGAGGCACTCTGAGCTTCAGAGCAGCTTCCTAATATGTTGTATCTTAACTGTAGTACGGTGAGTAAGAAAGACATTTTTGCAGCTGAATCATACATGCTTTACACAGAAGAGAACAGGCTTTCTTTTTTAAGGTTTCTATGGAAGCCTTCAATACCCAATCTGTGGTAAAAGGAAGCAAATGCTACCAAACTCTACGGCGTTATTGAGGAAGCCTGAATGAATTAAGAGCACTGAGGAGGCTCTCAGCAATGTTAATGTGCCTATGGAGAAGTCACTCCCTTCCACAACCTGATAAGTCTAGCCACCTCTTCTGGAAGGACTGCATAGCTGTAGTGCTCCTGTGTCCTCAATGTTTCAATGTTCACGGTTACTCAGTGTTTCAGTATGGCTCTGGCAGAAACCTGTAACTGAGCCCGTGTTTTCATGGTTATGGTTCCATGCATTAAACACAAAACCATCCTCTTGTCAATAAAGCATCTTCCATGATCAAGAAACATTTCCATAAAGCCAGTGACAACAACAACAGCGGTATATTCTGCTTGCTCTGGGTTTTCTCCTAATACATTTTTCTGGATTAAATACATGCTTTGTAGTTGTTTTTTTCATGGGTCACTGTTAATTGCATGACATGACTGCATTAATCACTTTCCAATAGCACAGCAAATTTTAGCTAGCAGAACAACTGTGGAGTGTTTAATGTCAAAATCCAAAGCACTGCAAAAGGATTTTTCTTCACTCTCCCTTCCTAATTTATGTGATAAAATACTCCTAAGATTAACAAGACGGCTATAAACTGTGCCTTTGATCTTGCTCCCTTTCATAGTCTGAGTGAATCGAGACTAGCAGATACAGCACATGTAAAGGTAGGATTTTTAAATTTTTTTTTTTTTTTAAATTTTAAGTCTTCAGTATGATGGAGAATGGCACAAGAAAAGCAAAAATATATCCTTTCAATGCTTCAAAGGATATTAACTCAAAATCAAGACAATATCTCAAGGCAGGCTTTTCTCTTCCCCCACCTTCCAGACAAATTCCCTGTTAAAGGAAGATCATGCACCAACACCCAATAGGTGAATATTTTTAAGTGCTCCAGAAAGTTTTCCAAGTACTAGAATCTTCCACTTCTCTATAGACAGTGAAGATGAAGGATCCTTTCTTTGCGGCTGACTGCAGCTTTCCCCAGATTTTTTGCACTGGAGGCTACTGTGTGACAGAAGTTTTGACAGGCAGGTGCTCTTTCCCAGTATTCCAGTCTACCTGAAGTAGCATACATCTTCAGTCTATGTTTTGACTGCTGAAAAGTCAACAGCTCTAAGTCTAGCTTCTCAAGACATCCTCATGATACTGGCCAGCAATTTATTTTCTGTTGAAAGCTTCTCGTTCCTGCCTTCTGTCACTGGAAGCTATGAAGGAAGACTAAGTTTTCCAGGATTATTTGAAGAAGAGTCCTGCTATATAAGAATGTCCTGAGGAACCGATCTCTAGCTCAGATCCCTCATTTCAGAACCATGACTTGCTGTTTCTTTAAGGACTGCAGTGTTTGCTGTAATGGCATAAAGTGCTAATGCCTCTCCCTAAACTCAAGGCGAGGGCAAGAGTTACAGAAAGAGCTGATGACTTCTTATTTACCACTTTCCAGTGCAGCATACTAATGTCAAGTGCATCCAACTCAAACATGTTGAACTACAACCTGTGGCTGTTGAGGAGATGAGGGCTGCTACCTGTTTTTTCAGGGCCTCCTTGGAAGACATACCAGACAAGACTACATGGGGATGCAGCTCCCCTTCTAAATCATCACGAACCCAACCTCAGGCAGAGACAAGTGATAACAAAGCAAAACTGTGTTTCTATGTACTTGTGAGAGCTCCAGAAATAATGTTTTTCAGGATGCTCCTTCCCATGCCTCCTCCCTTTCACACCTTCTGTTTATTTGTTTTCCAGCTGACATTCTCTTACAGTGAACTTCTAGGATACTGCCAGTTGCTCCCTAGTGAAAATCCACTCAAAATTCTTCTGAAAACTACGCTCAAGGCCCAAGCGTTCCTATTTTTCATAAGAAGGAACTGTAAGAAAGCAGAATGGAATTCTTCCATCGTTAATGTTTCCCAAAGCCAGTGCCCATCTATGCCAGGAGTCTGGTGGATATTCTAAACCACTCATGTGGAAAGGTCTTGTTATATATTTGACTACTTCATAGGTTCTCTGGATTTACATAATGTAGATACAAAATTCATAGAAATTAGATGGAGAGAGGTTTAAAGAAGGAGAGTATAGATTCACTTGCAAAAGACTGTCTGCCCAGTAAATATTGCTCTGCATTTTCTATTGTAGATGTCCTCCTTCCATTTTAGGAAGGAGGGAAACGGAGTGATTGGAGTGGGAGTTTACTTTTGGAACATTCTTTCACCCAAGAGCTAATAGGATCAGATCTGCACGCCCAACTATGTAGTGAGCAGAGAAAACCACTGTTAAGAACAAACTAATCCAACAGAAAAAGAATTTTCAAACACACGATATCCATACCTCTGCAAGTAGCCTCTGATCCAGACCATTGGCCATTTGGCTGACAAAGCCGGATGCTGCTTCCCACGAGATCAAATCCTGCTTTGCATCGGATCCCGCAGGCAGCATTAAAGTAATTGTTGCAGACATTCTGGACAAAGTAACCATTTTCAGGGGGCTTCAGTTCAGGGCAGTGAACAACTAAATAATTAAACAACCACAACAGAGTTATGATGCTAGTTGGAGTGCAATAGGCTACTGAATGAAAACAATTTTTTTCATTTTGAACTTGACTTGCATCTTGGTACTTCTGTTATTTTGGAATGACACAGAAAATCTGGCATGCAATTTGACATGTCCTTCATAGTGCAAACACAAATAACAAAATTGTCCCAGCACTGCATTGTGCATTCCAGGGGTATTCTGTTCCTGGATGGAAACACTTACCTTCACAGGTTTGTCCTACAGCACGATATCCCTCCTGGCATGTACAATCTTCAATGGAGGTACTTCCTGGTGGAGAAGTATGATTCTCATCGGGACATGAGTTACAAGTGCTGATTCCACCTGGTGAACCTTCAGGCTTGTATGTTCCTGGTGGACAAGCTGTTGAGTAGAAGAAAACATGACAGAAAGGAGTTCAGGATATCCACCTTTCACAGCTAGCATAATTTTTCAGGTGTGTTTGCTTTACTTTTTTATATTATTTTTTTCTACCTCATACCTCTAGTGTCGCTTAGGGCAGGAGCATTCTCCACTTAAAGTTCTGTAGAGTTCTTACAGGGGTGAACTAAAGCTCACCAAATTCAGTGGAAGTCTCTCCAGTGACTGCCTGGGGACTGATATTAAGTCCATGATTAATTTTCTTGAGAAGAAGCCCAGTCCCAGAAGACACACCAGATTTTCACTGATAAAACCTCTGCTGACCTCACGAAGATGTTCTTATTTAGAGGTGTAAAAAATTAGTTCAGACAAAATCCTTGCCATTCAAAACTACACTGAAGTTTAATGCACACAAATTCTTAGTAACAAGCTAATACAAGACAGCAAAAAACCCTGCCTTGATTTACACATTGTATTATATATGATCTATACACTATACTTGTTAAAATGTATGAACTACAAACAATGAAGCAACTAATCAAAGCAACTGCTCCCTGAAGCTTTTGCACTCATTTATATCCCATTTAATATTTTTAACTCTGTGCATCTACATGCACAATCCTGAAACAGATTCAGGAGATGACTTCAGAGGCAGGGGAAATGCATAGGGAAAAGGCACCTCTCACCTGAGAACTTCAGATTGGTTGGATAAGTCTGAGTCTTATCCCTCTCTGCCTTGAATTCTGTTCTTCAGAAAACCACCATAATTATCTTTATTTATTTCACAGGATGATGTAAGAAACAGGGGAGTGACTAATCAACAGGTGCTGATAAAGTGAAGTACTGATTAATCAGATTTCCACTTGAAACAGAACTCAACACTTGTGCTGAAAAACATACCTCCTGATGTAAAGTTCAGGAAATATTTTGAGAAGGTTACATAGTATTAACACTGAAACCCAGCCAAAAAAGCTCTCATTTCATTAATTTCACTGTCTACAAATTTTCCTAATGGCCACACTTTCTCTTGCAGACTGCAAGTCAGCCTCTCATTTCCTCCCCTCAGTACAGTGACTTTGTACCATCTGATGTAGCTCTGGATGGTATAAAGAACTGTACAACCATAAACACCCTCAAATGCCTTCCTCCTTACATAGTCAGGTGTGCTCTGCTCCCCAATAGGAAGAGCAAATCCCTCCTATTGAGGTATATTTCCTGGCGTTCGGCAGCATCAGTCTTCTCTTTGGTAGATACTGGACCAGCTCTGTTTGTTCTGTGAGTTAGGTCCTAAGATACTCTGACTCTTGTCTTATTAATGAAAACAACTTCCTGCTTTCTAGGAAACTGGAAAAAAACAAAAAAAAAACCAAAAAACAAACCCAAAAGAAACCCCAGCTTCCTTTTTCCTCACCTGTCATGGGAGAATTGACTTTTGTAAGTCAAACTTTATGAAGTTTGTAAGTATGTAAGCCAAACAACCCATAAGAACAGTTAGAACTTCTTTACAAAAGGAGCATAGTCTTTTGAATAGATTCCAGAGATAATATTTTTGTTTCCTTTTAAGAAAAATTTGCAGTTTTATTTTGAAGAAAGCAACCAAGTGGCTAGCAGTTAAGAGGTGATTTTGGGTGCTGTACAAATCGGTATTTTAAACACACTTTTAAAAGACAATGAAAACGCCTAAGCAGTAAAGGATGTAAGTACAAATCAAAGTATTTCAGGAAGGAAAAAGGGCAGAAAAATCCAATCAGAATTAGAGCTGGGAATTTTTCATTTTTGTTTTGGGACTTTCAGAAAAGCATTTGCAAAAAAATCCCTTTCTATAGTTCAACTGCCCTTCCCATCCAAGACATTCCTCTGGGACTGTTACTGCTTCTTTCCTATCTTCTGTGCAGAAATCCCCTCCTTGGACATTAGGTCTCTCTGAAATATTCTCTTGTGCTTCAGATGATCACCTCCAAACTGGCTAAGTATCAGAGGTATTATTCTGAAATCTCTGAAATACTTCCCTCTGGGGACTTGTGGAAGTCTCTGTGCATCCTTGTTAAAACTAACCGGTATCCAGCACAAAGTGATGAAGTGCATCCAAAAGGATATAGGAAACAGTGCAAGTTAAGCATCACAGGGGACCTGCTGTATGACAAAGCTGCCTCCCATGTGCCAGCAAAAGTAAATTAGTCTCTTCTGTTCTATGTGTGGCATATAAAATGACATCTAAAAGAAGTGTTTCATTAAAAAAAAACCAAAACAAAAACCCAACCTAATTTCTCTCTTTCTTGCAACCTCACCTTAGGTGAAGAAGCAGCAGCTCTTTTCTGTTTCTGTTTTGAGAACTATGGGATAAAAATATCACCCATTCTGTGACGTGGGCAATTTTAACAACAAACCCAGTAATTTGCTTAGGGCTTTGAATCAGTCTGGCTTTGACAAAAATGGTTCATTCTGAAATTACACTTACAATTTGCTCTTTCCAGTGAAGCAGCAGGAGGTAAATAATACTGTTAAAATGGTTATTAATGTCTCTGCTGGGAAAGTTTCCCCAAATGTCCTGATTCTTTTTGTATGATTCAAATGCTTCCCACTGCCTTTCTAAAAAGTTCAACTGCATCCTATCTTGGCTTTGTATGTAGAATTTTCTCCAAGCTTGAGTCTCTGAACTCCATGCAAGCTACATTCAAAATTTACACAAGGTAACACTTGGTTACAGAGCTATTTCCAAGTGTGTGAGGTCACACAGTCTATCCTGTGATGCCAAGAGATGGTTTAAGAATGGAGCGTAAGTATGCTGACCTCTGAGCTTTTCTATCACAGCCGTAGAGGTTAGCCTGGCCACAGCTTAGGTTAAAACCTTCCAAAATCAGCTGTGGAAGAGCAGAGCTTCGGCCATCTGCTGAAGACTGGACTTATCCATACCTGACCCAGCTAGACTGCAGACCGATCCCCTCCTGCTTCAGACAGCACTACAGCATGGCCCAAGTCTACACACAGCAATGCATTCGGAGGCAAGAGAGAACATGAAGGTCAAGAACATCTGAAGAGCACATGTGGCCCCACCCATGACTGATCATACAGGTGTCTCTCTGGGGCCTCTTCCGAGAATCAAGCAGTGCCAAATTTTCATTGCATTCTAGTCACCAGTCTGCATTCACTGACATGCCCTCTATACCTGCAAAAACTGACTGCAGGGAGAGATCATCTTCACCAGTGCTAATCTGTAAGAACAATTTAATTTTTTTTTTCAAAGCTTGCTTCCCCTTGCCAACAACGTGATGGTATAAAAAGGTGCAAAACAGTGCATGAATGAACCCCAGTGTAAATAAGCATCAATCTGGCAAGACTGACAAAAAAAGGCAAGAATTTTAAAATGGGGAAACAATTTTAACAGAGAGGACACTTATGTGCACATCTGCATGTATGATCTTCTCAACAAAAGATTTAACTACTGCCTATATGAGAACCATGTTGTTCTTTGCCCAGAAGCAAGGGGAGGAGCAAGGAAATGCTTTTTGTTTAATGTAATTCTCCTCTTGAGAACAGAACAGTGAATACTGAGTTACACCAGAGGATTACCTCTTTGTTACAGAAATGAAAGGATATCTGGAAGCAGGGATTAGTGTGTTTACTCAAACAAGCACAGGTCCCAAACTCCCCAAGCACACAAGGATGGCTCACGCTGAAGTTGTCATCAACAACCTGCCTTCATAAAATGGTAGATATTCACCAGCGATTCACATTCAGATTTTATTGTCTGTGGTAACGACAGTGCAATAACCTTCTGATCAGAAATGGGAATGAAATAATACATGCTTATTTCAGCATGCCTCCTGCATTTTCCTCCTCAGTTATGCTCTCCTAGGGTGTACAACTAACTGAAAAAATATAAGAAAATCCAGCATGTCTGTTCTGTTTTTGAACACTACAGGGCCTGATGACTTCTTAGGCCACCAATGGAAAAACTTTCTTACTCCTTTATCTATCAAAAAAAATTAAGTTGTGCATAAAAAAGGAATCACTAGAAAGGAAATATGTTTGCTAGAAACAGGTTTGCTAGAAATATGTTTGCTAGAAACAAAGACCCACAGAGAAGGCATAAAAACATTTCAGTCAATGCATTATGTATTGACAACATACGTCAAGACGTTGCCTGAAGCTGAACAATGGACACGGAAAGTTAAGAAAGTCCACCAAAAAGTTAAAGGACAGACTTTCAAATTCAGTAGGAATTCTTCTGCTCTGCCTGCCTACAATAATGACAAATTTGATATATTAATCTTCAAGGAAGAATAATTTGACATCGTAAAAATGACAACATAAACCAAGGTATATTTCAGAGATTCACCAAACACTTAAAATGTATTATACAGTTTGGCTTTTTTTAAACTGCAAATACTAAAGCCAGTGGCAAAGTTAAGCCAACCACTACTGAACCCACACGATGGCATAAAGACCCCAGTCTGGTTTTAAACAGGTAGAGATCATGTGTCAAAGGGTTCTACTCTATGACACTGGGTCATGATTCTTCCTCTTGAGTGTACGAGTACAAATTTTAAGGATAAACAGTTCTGCCTTAAAAATGTAAATCTTTTAAAATTCTGGGAGACCAGGCCAGCTCAATTTCCTCTCCAACTACACTAGTGTATCTAAGTCACTGAAATGGAATTATTTTTCATTTCTCCCAGTGTAAGAGAGAGGAGAATCAAACTCCATGTATTTCAAAGATTAATTTGAGGGAATTTGTATTTTCTTCAATGCATAATTTCTCCCACTAACTACATTTACTAAGTAATCCCTGTCATGAGCTGTTTTTTCCACACTTGACGCTAATGAAGGATCCGATTAAGGGTTTATCTTTTGCAGGATATGGCAGGAATCAGCTAGACAATATCCTGCTCTCTCCTGCATCAACCTGAGCTCTAGTCATACACTGCTACTGTGATGATTGTAGTCTCTAATTCTCATTTTTTCCGCATATGTGTAAAACCTAAATGAAATGACACCTTGAC